GAGAATGCTCCGAGACAGACAACGAAGAAACCTCCACGAAATAATACTAAAAAAGAAACACACACACAAATACATAAAGTCTTTGGACGACTGGATGGGGGATAAACCCAAATACATTTTTTTATAGTTCGATGCCCGAAAACTTTTGAGTCATTCCCTCACGAGCTTCTCATAAGCCACATGTCGGCACGGACACACACACACACGAGAGTCGATGTGTTATGTTCCGGATTTTTTTCTTCTTCTAATATCTCTCTTCTTTCGTTTTTTTTTTCTTTCGGGACAAGACCGACCTCAAATCATCCAATTCCACGCACAGAATAATATTAAACACGCTTCCCATTCCAGCGAACGTTTCACCTCGTTTCTATATTTTTTTTCTTCCTGCATGCTGAAGAGAAAGCAACAAGTACCAGGACTTTCCTTCCCCCTCACCAACAGATGTAAACAAACGATGACGGCTCTTTAATCAAGTCGAGGTACAGTACTATTTTTGTTTTGCTTTCAACACAGCGGTTTCTGGGATGTGTCGAGTTATTTCGCGCTTCCGGGCTTGAAACAGGAAGACTTCAAAAGCCTTCATTACGAAGTCGAATGCGCCGAGAGGTGAGACAGTTTCGCGTTACATCGTCCAGCGAAAGTTTTGCCGCAAAAGAAATAATAATAATGAAAATAATGATAGACTGCCTCAATCCAGAGCGAGAGCAAATAGAAAGGAAATCGAACCTTTTTTGGTTCCAAGAAACATGCCCTTCACACCACCGGAAGAAAAATCGCCAAGCAAGAGAAGATTATTAGTTCTAAAATGAACTATACGCCAAACCTTTAAAAAGCAACACACCATTATTCAGCATATTGGCAATACCCCCCTTGGTGTTACCGCATTCATATGTCCATGTGTCAGGTCATTTCTCTTGGGCAAAAAGGTATTAGATTCGAGTATTGTAATCGGAATATCTTTAGTTATGACCTAGATATTTAGAGGCGTAACTTACCTGTACTTTGGATAGGATAGGGCTACAGTAAGTTATTTAGCTCCAGGCTAAGTGGAAAGTGAATGTTTTCCATCCAAAAAATGCCATAATATAATTGGTCATGTCCTGACAAAAATTTGAGACACCAACCAGACACTTTTTCTGCAGCTGAAAAGAGAATAGCTTTCAAATCAAATGCCCTTTTTTCTCTCAATCCCCTCACTTACTTGCATTATTTTGCTATTGATCAAAATAAGATGTTTATACTGTTATCTTAGATTAGCTGAAGAAGAGAATAGCTTTCAAATAAAATTCTCTTTTACTCTGTCAATCCCCTCACCTATTTGCATTATTTTGCTATTGATCAAAATAAGATTTTTATACTGTTATCTTAGATTAGCTGAAGAAGAGAATAGCTTTCAAATCAAATTCTCTTTTATTCTGTCAATCCCCTCACTTATTTGCACCATATTGCTTTGACAATTACAAATCTTTGTCTTCAACTTGATGATCAGATAATTTTGCTCCCCAGTATAGGTAATTTGTTCTACCAAAATAGAGACTTGTGTCTTGGAGATTTAAATCACTTTCCCTGTGTTTTTGAGAAGCAGAGAAAATACTCTGATGAGAGAATTTATACAAGAGTCTTCATTTTTTTGTAAAATGCAGCAATAGAACATATCTTGAGGAGCAGAGCAATGTCAACAAGGTTTTGCAGCAAAGTTTGGGAACAGTATGCTTGCCTCAACACAAGAAACACCTGTATTTATATATTTGTGCAGTTGAGGTCAAGAGATGTGCATAGCAACCAATTTGGAATGGTGTTGACATACTTTTTGGCACAGCAAACAATGAGAAATATTTAAAAAGTCATTCAGTATAGCAATGTAATGTTAAGTGCAGTTGCGCATGAAATGCAGCAAAGAATAATGGAACCAGAATTAGCAAGGAAACACTCTAAAGTGCTAATGTGATATTTATATTGCACCGTAGTCAATTCATATGACTACACTACACACTTGGAAATACATAACCTCCCAAGTGGGGAGCTATTCTTTGTGTGACCCCACAAATGGTGTACACTGGGGTCATAACTTGTGTATACATAGACTATTCTGGGGTTACAAGCATGCACCTCTGTTGATGCCATTTTGCTACCATTCCAGGGCTACATTTGGTGAACAAATGTGACATAACAGAAGTATCACACAAATGCACCAAATGTAACACCTTGCTGTAACTTATTTATTACAAATGTGACCCTGAGTAACCCTGGTGTGAACACACAATTGGTGCACATTAGGGATAAGCATGTTGTTATCCCAAATTGGCGAAAGAATTGATTAAAGACACTTTTGCATAGAAAGAAATGTCTTTCTTTACTAAACGATTAATCTAAAATTTCAACTTTCCAGGATAAGCTTTTTGTCAAGAAGAATTCTAGTCTTTATGGCCAGGGCAAAGTGAATCTAGACTTATCTATAAAGTGAATGCATATATTTCAATAAGACTTCAGCAAACAAGAGTCAAACCAGCAATGAATGCCATCATACACACTTTGTGGTACTTTTATAGATTTGAAAGAAACCAGACACGCTTAACGGGGCAACAGAAAGGGGACTGGGCAAATGACCAAGAACCAGACAATGCATCTAGGACATGTGATGTCCTTGTCTGCTTCGGAGCAGCAAGTTGCTAGGTGGAGATTGCTAACGCAGAGAGCAATATTATCTACATATCATAGGACATTCATATTTTGGTGACAATGTGCAACAGAAAAACTTTGGTACACTTCAGGTGCACAGCAGGGTCACTGTGTAGAAATACAGACACATCCCCAGTTTGCACCAATTTCCTCACTCTGGCTATCAAACATTAAACACAAATATAGATCATCCGCAATCAGATTTTTTGCTATTCTTGTCTTTGTGTAATACTAATCCTTGCAATAACTTCGCAGAAAGATCATTGAATATAAGGCTCATCATAGAAATTCATCCTATTGCATTAAAAAGGGGATTATGAGAGCTCAAGGAAGTAGCCCTCTACAGGAAAAGGTCTCCCAAATTAGAATAAGATCCCCTCAAGCTGAATTCATCTAGGCTTAATCAAAAGTTGAATTTAGTTCCTGATCTTCCAAATGAGAATATCCCCTTAAGCTGAATTTATCTAGGCATAATCAGAATTTGAGACTCGTCCTGAGTTTAAACTCCGGGAACCCAAGCAGGTCATTCATCGGACAAAATTTTCTGTCACGTGTTACGTACATGTTCCTCATCACTGCAAAAATTAGACCGGGCGTCTTAAATCTGAAGAGTCCATTCGAGAATTCGAGCTTTACTCGCGAAGACTGATGATGGAATAAGACGCAAGTATGCGAGTTTCGCCTTTTTAAATGAATACTGTAATTTAATATGAATTTAACACGAACATGTATTTCGCCGAGCTTTTATTTAATCTCAATAATCTTCAGTAAAATAACCATTTTCAGCGGATCAGTTACGTGAATAGAGTTGCAGTAGAATCTCGTTATAACGAATTAATGCTAACAGCGAATTTTTTTCTTTGGTCCCTTTCCTAATAACTAAAATGCTTTTTTTGATTCCGTTTAAACGAATTTTTGTTTTTAACGAAACAGTTTTTGAGGTCCCACTTATTGTAACGAGATTCTGCTTTAAAATCATTACAACGATAACGAACGAATATTTTCAATTGTATTTGAATCTTCGAAATAAGTTGAAGTCATACTGGAAGATGAAAATTCACTCTTCGATATTGAATTAGCAGCAAAACACTCTTCTGAAACGAATTCTACGTTAATGTGATTCGAATTTAGAAGAAAGGAAACATTTTCCATCAACGAACCCATTAATCTCACGGATTATGGGATTCAGTTTCACGTCCTTTACTTCCGTGCCTCGGGGTGCACTTCGGTGGATTATCACCACTCCTGCCTATTTAAAAACCATGCAAAACCCCCTCGTTTACTTCGCCGAAATGTCTCATTTTTTATTCATAAACTATTTCAAGCTAGAAATTTGCTTCTCAAATTAATGGCTCTGGCGATGCCAGTTTTACATTAGTCACTTTCACTCGCCTCCTGAAAGTGTGGCAATTTTGGTAGAAAAACTTCACTTTTATATGCAAAACATGACGTAGTACGTTGGTGGAATCCATCTCCGCCTCTGAATCTTGAAAATACTGTGTACTGTGAGCAGAAATTATGCGTTACCTGCTTAGTCAACAAAAATTTAGGAGAATAAGAATAGACTATGTAATGACTCCAAGGCTTAGCAGCAAATAAGTTTAATTTCGGGCCTGGCATACAAATTTTTAATTATAGATAACCATAAGTGCTATTTTATCATAATTTCATGATACAGTACAAGTAAAATAATTGAATACAGCATTTGAATGAAAGAACCTATTCGGAGGAATCCATCTTTCAGTATTTTTATCTGGTTCTTTAAAATCCAGCATGAAATTGATGAGTATTAATGTAATAAAATATAGCGAATAAATAAATAAAACGTAAGGAACCATAAAAAATATGTACTTGATCGTGTACTTGATTCGACAATTAGCATTTGCATAATTGTAGAACTGCTGCATTTCTCAGCTCAAATAAAATAATAAATCAGAGTAATGAGATTTTGTCAAAAGTAACATATTTTGTCAGGTAAGATATTCTTTAGTAACACTGATTTGGATCAAAGGTTTCTTGTTTCAAGTTGCAACATTGCTAAGAAATCCTCAAGTTGCATGTACCGTACATTTCAACAGCGAAGGACGCATTCACACACAAGATGGCCTTCCGTCCCAACGCGTAGAAATCCTAAATATCTTCAGAATTCCAAAATAAATAACGAACTCACCGGGTTTTCAAGACTCGACTGCAGGAAGGAAGCAACCCCACTCAGGGGACACTCAACACCTTCAAAAATTCGACAGCTGAAAGCAGTTCAAACAAAGCCAACAATAAACGAAAAAAAAGAAGCAATTGAAATAAATCCTAGAAAACCCGAGTCAAGAATTTCCTGGTATATTTTGCGCTCCACATCCCATCGATACAATGATAACGGAAAAAAAGCTTGTAGCTGAGACGGCCCCATCCAAGATTTATTCTTCCGCAACAAATAAAAAGGTCACCGCATCCCTCGCATTCAAAGCTTACCTCTCAATACCCGATAATCAATAACGACGAACCGTGCTATGAGCAAGGTTACTTTCTTTTTTCCACAGAAAAATTCCATTACCAGGAAACGGAAAGGGAAAACATTATTCAGCATGAAAAAATCTCAACACTTGCGTTAAAAATGTTTTTCTCGCTTGACCAAAATACACCGCAACCTGATCCACCCAACACAGTTGTCAATGTTATCTCTTTTTATCAAAAGAAATTTAAAAAAAGAAACCTTCGGCGATACAATCTTTTGAGGCAAATATCACAACACGTTCGGGAGAAAAAAAAAAAGTCGACAAAAGAGGAAACGGAAAGGCGTCGGAAGATTCTCAGGCCACAGTCAATATAACTCAGCCCCGATGACTCATCATCCGACGATAAGAGAAACAAGACATCACGTTTCGAGCAGATCAAATAAAAACGAGAAAAACACGGACGTTCTTAGAACGAAGTCAAATATTTTCGCGAACTCACACTCAACTAAAACTCTTATTTTTCTATCTCGATTGAAATGTTGGTGACTCGAAACAATCTACAGATCTTCAACTGGAAAAATTGAAAGAACTTATTATCCCTGAAGAAAAAATAATAATAAAGGAATATCTCGGCGCTTTATCCTTTTTCACTCTTCAAGTCCCAACCGTCAGAGTCTTCTAGCGGCGGCTCGCCAGAGAATTTGGTAACTCGGCTGATCCACTCTTTTTTCTAGACCGACTCCAAGGCCTGGGACGCGAATTGACTTTGAAATCGCGCAAATCAATGCGATAACCTATTGTGTCTCCCACCATGGAGGAAGAAATACCGGATGCTCAACCAAAAAAGTTTCGAACTCGGATAGATTCAAATTTGCAAAGAAATACTCCCTTAAATGGTACGAAAATACGCACGAAGAAAATCTAGAGTTAGTGTTTATAATTTTCTCTGGTCTCCGATTAATGAAGCAATCCGAAATTGCTTTGAAATGCACAGAGCAACGTAGATTGCTTTTAGAGTCTGAAACCATTTTTCGAACGTGTAGTGAGATATTTAAAACAAGTTCTTGCGATAAAAAATGACTAGCCAAAATCCACGATGAATCCACGAAAACAACAATAAATTTTTGTCCTACTCCGGCAATACGGAACCGAAAAAAAAATTAAAAACTAAAGGCTACGTAGCAATTTAACGCACCTTTCAATGCCCTGTTCAGACCTAGCCTTATCCGAAAAAAAAACACTTAACAATTCGAACAAAAACCAGCGCTTCTCGATAGAAATCTAAAAATGTTTACACTACACAGGCCCGCAGAAAACGAAATCTTCATGTACACATTTCACAAACGAACTTGTCTTTCGAAAAGTAGGTGATTTTCTCACGGCTGTTCAGGCGGTGGCCTCTTCATCGGCCCCATCGCCGATCAACACCATGCCTGGGCTCCGATTGACTGAGAATCTGCTGAGTGAGATGCGCAAGGGTTGGTGCAGGCTTTTCGGTGGACAAAGTCCGCGTTTATACGCCATGAAACCCCCAACGATTGCGACAATCAGCAGGAGGGGAATGATGATTCCTGCAGCTACTGCACCTCCTGAAGAAGAAAAACAAATGAATATCCACAACAACAAAAAGTGCACTTCTACGCGGCAATTTATAAAAGTGGGTCCTTTGTTTCATCTCCCCATTGTTCTCAGAATGAAGGAGAGATCGCGGATAGTTTTTATTGCATCATGCTCGAATAAAATACTGAAAGGGTCACTTCTTCGCTAAATCAGTCCATCTTTTTCACAGTATCGAAGTCACCTCTTCTGCCATGATCGCGATCAATCTAACACAAAACCCGGTTGATCAATCGTACACGTTGATTATTCTTACTAGTCAAAACTAATTCACAAGCCGTACTCAAAATAATGTAACGAATGACTTTTACTGCGATGATTAATTTAGCTCAAACAATAGGTCATAACCAACTTAGCTTAAAAAGGCAACAGATAACTTAACTTGAATCCAAAATTTGAAACTCATCTCGCAGCCAGCGTTACCAACAAACCTAAAATTCGAGCATATGCAGACACATCTTAAGGCAAAGGCATAACTACACCTCAAATCGAACACAAACTCGATGCTGTACCTTGGATGCATGTCCAAACCAACGCATGACCACAGTTTCAACCAGGATAATTCCTTTAAAAAAAAGGCTTTGACCTCTTCATGAATTAATTCGATTGTATCCCTTTCAAATTTTTCAAGATGTTCCAGTGTTGACATTTCACCAGGTGACGCGTGCCCTCTTGAAAACGCAATGTTTACCCCAGTTAATAGCGCAGTAGAGTAATTTCCGACTACAGTCAAACCCCTCTAAGTCGAACTTCACGGGATTAGACTAAAAATTCGAGTATTGGGGGGGGGTTTGTGTTGAAAGAAGAACTTACGGAAATTTAAATTGATATTCCAGGCCTTGAATTACCGGTAGTTCTTGAATGAGTTGATAGGATCCTGAACTTGGAGCCAAGTGTTTATTTACCCGATACGTCAATTTTTTTTCGAAACACATCATTACATTTTCATGGCTTTTCTCTTTTCCGTGTCAATAAAATGATAGCCAAAATGCCTCCAGAAAATGCAAGCAATGAAAGTTTGAGAGGAAAGCGTTCGAGCCAGACTATTTTTCAATGGATTGTTTCTAAGAAAATTCGTACAAGGGCAAACATTCTGCATATGGAGGTTCAAGTCATTGAGGTTCAACTGTACTCCATATTCAACAGAAAATGCTAGCTTTACAATACATTACATAAATTAAACAATTTATCCCTCGGCAGTTTCGACTTGAAGTGTAGCAACAGATGCTCTTGCTCAAACAAACTTATTTCAATCACCCAGTATCTGTACCAGTGAGACGCTAAAAAAAAGTAGAGCTTCAAAAAGATGGCGACGGATTTTTGCAAAGCGACCCAAAGGAAGAATAGGAAACCAATGATAATTAGGGAAATTCACCACGACTTGTTTCGGACGGGTCATGGCCCTCGTCCGAGTTTCCTGAATAATGCGAAGAAGATGCTGGATTCGCTCCGTTATTGTCCACCTGCTCGTCATCCTCATCACTGTCCATTGCATTGACCTTGTTCCTCGCGTCACCATCGGACACGGGAGCACACTCACCCTGCTTCGTCCTCACGAAGCCGACGATACATAAACACGCGCCTTCTGATGAATTACTCTGCACCGGGGCACAAACTTCGTTGCTCCCTTTGCACGGAAAGAAGTTGTGGAGGTCTTTGAGAGAGCAAGGCTTGCTCCACTGCTTCTCCGCCGCGGGCACCTGGTACTCCGTGAACGCACCAGTGGTTGCGACAGATGGAATGGACGTAGCGCGAGGCGGCGGCGGAGTGCTCTGCCAACTCGTGCCCGAATTGTAGTCTTGCACATCCGCAGGTATCACAGGAAGATGATGAAGAGTGGCAGTGTGAATCTCGGCTTCACCCGATTTCACAAGACACGGCGGAACTGAAGAGAAAAACAGAGTCGAACACTCAAGAGATGTATAACTGATGAAGAAAAAGTAATAATTCTTCTCCTGAAAGCTAAAAAGAACCAAAGCAAGTCATTCCTGTAGAAGAAGAACTCTAATGAAAAATCAAAGCTACCTGAATACGATAAAATACTGGCAGAAGGACTGTAAACGATATTTCCTTTTCTGATCTGACAGTTTCCAAACGTCAAAAATATTTACATTACAACTCAGTGCGGTAAATATCGTAGCTATCGGCTGGGTATAAGATTAAGGTCAATAAGGTCGACGATTATTGATGTATTCCAAACGAAAAGAAAATGGACGATCAAGCCTTGCGACGAAGAAACGATTTGAGAAGTGTTTTCAAAGCATTAAACGATTTCGGATGAAGAACGGATTATCTGCTAGATCAAGCATACCATTTTGGAAAAGCGCGAGATAGTTGATGTCCACCAAATAACATGAGAATGCACGTACCTTTTACTGGACCGCTCTTCAAGATTGTCTCGGCAGTTGTGCAGTTTTCGGTGCCTCCAAGCTCTTCTGCGCTTTTCCCGCCGTAGCATGATTTTAAAGTCAAGTCGATGTCCATTGCAGCATTTGGATATCGTGTCACAGTAACCATCAAGTATACATCCATCTCAACGCCGGCTATGATGAGTTTAGCGCCTATAAATCATCGTAAACAAAACACGTCTCGAGTTAGGAAGACACCTCATTAATGAATGGACCAACACCTCATTAATGAATGGACCAACAGGGAACTTAAAACTCACCAGGGATGAAAAACGGAGGAGCTGTTTTGTTGGCATAAAATGTTCGAGACCACGGACTTTCAGGGGAGTATCCGTGTAAACTGGGGACACTCCCGTGAATTTGAACCCCGGTCGGAGATTGGCATGGATCTATGTAGACACCCAACGTGAAGTTTTCCTAAAAACGCAAAAAAGCATTACATATATGGAAAAATAATTCAATTTCAGTCGTCACACCTGAAGATATCCGGCACAGTCTACACCTGAACAATTCACGGGTTCGCATTTGATGTGGCCGGTATGATTTTCGAAATGACGCATTTTTTCGGCAAGCTTTGACCAGCTATCACACGTGTTCAACGAGAACACCGTGTCAGGGATCAAAAAGGTGACGAAGAGCGCAAAAGCAAAAACGTAAATTTGAGCCATCCAATGTATGGAGCGCAAGATCCCCGAGGATCTTCGTCGAGGAGTCGCAGGTTGATTTGATTCCATTGCTCAAAGTTTGACTTCAAGCTCAATGCCTAATCTCATCACTTGGGACGAGAGCAACGTCATCGCCTTCTCTCACTAAAACTTACTTGACTTTGTTCAACACAAGTGACCACTCGAACTCAGTCATGTCTTCAGCGACAACTGCGGCGAAAAATTGAGCGTCAAAATAACCTGAATCTCAACTTTAATCATTCCGAAACCACACTCATAATACACCACAGTCGAAGTTTCGCCTCATTCCTTACACGCTCAAACACGCCAGTCAATCCGCTTCAGTCTTAGCTGGCCCATTCCTCTATGCTTCTCAGACAGTGAATTCCACTTCATAACCGCTGGGCCCGCTGGCTATAAGGGGCAACCCATACATACATACCTGAATGGTTCGACGGCTGAAACAACAAGGAAAACCAGATATTCTTGATTCCTTAACATGTTATGTCCTTAAATAGCCAATTATCAAAATAGCAATTTAAACACTCAAAAATAATACTTATAAATTTGAATTTAATAGCGAATATGTGAAATTATTGTACAGTACTGTACTATGATTCTGTACTACACTCGTATATTCAGTATTACCACCAATGGTTACTGCTCAGTCCTCTGGTTGCGTTGCACTCGAATGGCCGGGGTCATGTAAAGTTGGTGCAGCAGTAATTGTTACGCGTGAAAGTTTCAGTGAGTGTGTCGACCAAGATCGAATTTGGACGAGATGTGACTTCACGAAATCTGTGGGTCTGACGGAATTATACCGCGGACCCTGTGAAAAGAATGTGGACTCACATTCGGGTACCATAAGCGGGGACTCATCGGTGCTCCACCGTGTATGATATACATATTCCGTAGGGTTCAATTGGATTTGTGTTCCAGCTATGCGTCGTAATGTTTCTCGGTAACCGTGATCGCATTCCTGTGGAATGATGCTTGTCTAGAAAAGTAATCGAGTATTCTTGCGTGCTTCCAGTGACAATGTCTTATTCTTCGTATGTTTTAGAGCGATTTATATCCATGAAGATGGAAAAGAAACCGAAAGGTGTACCGGCAAAGGAAGGAAAATCCGACGCGTTATCGGACAACGGAAGTCGAGTAGTGAGCTTGAAGCCTTTCGACCCTCCCAGGAATGCAGATGCTGCTAGTCTTCCTGGACACGTTACTGTGAATGCTGCCAAGATAGACGCTGACGGTTCTCGTTTGGCGATTGCAACCTCAGATGGGGTTGTCAGAATTGTTGGAATCCAGTTCCCAGATATAACGTACAAGATTGCCGAATTAATCATGGAGGACCGTGACGAAGGACATGGTAACGTGTGGGATGTTGCTTGGGGTGTGACAGAAGCTTTCGGCTCTGTCTTGGCATCCTGTTCCGAAGATCGCAAGATTCGTATTTGGCGAGAGAAGGGAGAAGAATGGATCAAGTGGTTGGAATGGACGTGTGAAGGCAAAGCGGGGAATTCTCTGCATTGGGGACCAACGTGCGAGGGGAAGCTCACATTGGCGGTAGGATGCTCTGACGGATCGGTCGTCATTTTCAGTCATGAAGATTCGCCTGAGGATAAAATCGGATGGACGGTTCAAAGCATAGCTTCTGCACATAGTGAAGGTGTCACCGTCATCAAATGGGCTCCAAATCGACGATTGACCAAGGAACCTAAGCCTGATCCTCTCCTCATCACGGGGGGTGCCGATAGCTTGATCAAAATGTGGATTCCGAAGTCGGATGCCGGGGATCAGGGAACATGGGAACGTGAAAGCAAGTTGGAAGGCCATCAGGACTGGATTTCCGATCTTGTTTGGGCGCCATGCGTAGGAATAAGACTTCGACATCTATTAGCTTCTGCTGGACGCGATAAAAAGGTCATCTTATGGAACCAGCCATCTCCATCCGCGGTTTGGGTGCCTGTACTTCTCACTCAAACGTACGAAACTCCTTGGAGTCTTAGTTTTTCGTTGACTGGTCACTTGTTATCCGTTTCCGAGGCCGATGGTCGCGCAACCCTCTGGCGGGAAAATCAAGGAAATTGGGAAGAAGTCAGGTTTTGCAAGAAGGTCAGGACATATCAAGAGAAAATGCGAGCTGCTTATGCGTCTCAAATTCCTGGAAAAGCCCTGGACACGAGCATAGTTCCGACTGAGGCTTCAGATGCACGGAACCTTTATGGTGACGAAGTGGCTCCAAAGCCTGATGAGTACCCTCAGCGTTGGCCGACGAATTACGACCCATATGCGGATTATTACGCGTATTACGGACGTGAAAGCGATCGACAACCCCGCTTTTACGATGATCGCAATCAAAGTTTAACGGACACCCGTAGCTATTCCAGTCAACGTTATCCTTACTATGCTTACCCTGTGGAAAACTCGGCGTCGGAAACATATCCCTCTCGGAAACCTTCTGAAACCCGGGGTTCGAAGTACGATTACGACGATCGCGATTACCACGAGCCCCGTTCGTCGACCCGCGATCGCAGTTACCGTTCCTACAGAGATGAGCGTTATTGATTTATTCTGAGGAAAATTTTTGTGAGAAAATTGGGATGATATATTTAAGAACGTTGCATTGCATATGAGTGCCACCTGTTTCTACTTCGTCAACATTTTTTTTTAGGATCTTCATGAAAGAATTTTTATGTAGTTTGCAGATTCATTCTTGTCAAGTCACCGACAAAAGTTCGTGAAATGGCTAAGACAAAGGGTGAGAAAAAAAAACTGACCATCAATGAAGTTGTTACCCGCGAGTACACCATCAACCTCCACAAGCGGCTTCATGGAATGTAAGTTTATTATTTCTTGTGTAATCTGAAATTCATCTCAAAATGCCGTGTTTTTCTTTTTTATTCACAGAGGTTTCAAGAAACGTGCGCCAAGAGCAATCAAGGAAATTCGTAGGTTCGCGGAACAGCAGATGGGCACTCCTGATGTTCGTGTCGACGTTTCCTTGAACAAGAAAGTATGGTCATGCGGCGTCAGGTAAGTCGATAGATCCGCATTTTTTTTGGGAAATTGAAATTTTGAAATCGAATAACCCGTGTGTTCATTAACCGCGATTTACTTATGGAATGACTCGTTTTGTAGGAGCGTCCCATTCAGGATTCGCGTACGCTTGTCGAGGAGGCGAAACGAAGACGAGGACTCGCCCCATAAGCTCTACACCCATGTGACGTATGTGAACGTGCCCAACTTCAAGGGCCTTCAGACAGAAAACGTTGATGCGAGCGAAGACTGAGCTGAAAATCCGCGTTTTGCCTGTTGAATGTTCACTCCGTGCTTGAAGGAATAAACGAAAAAGTTGATTCCTCGGTGTGAAGTTGACGGTTTTTATTTCGATTTTTTTTCAGTTGGTTCGATACGAATATTTTCTTCCGATCCAGTTGACAGTGACAATGTTGGCTCATGATAGGAGCAAACCGCGAACGTCTGATGTAAGCTGCGCAGATGACGTTACTTTTGAGTCGTTTTTTCTTTCAAATCACGTTCGGGAAGTGAGTATTGTCTTGTCCGTAGTCCATGGGAAAGTCTTTCGGTGTGGCATTATTTTCGAGATTGAAATAACGTTTTTGCCAGGGCCTCCGGCGGTGTGGGTTTCGGAAGCCATCCCCTGTGCAAGTTAAAGCCATACCATTCGTGAAGGACCGTCGAGATGCCCTCATTCAAGTGAGCTACAGTATTTCTAAGCAAGAAAAAGTCCGGCTCTGGATTTGATTCAATAAATTAAGATGCCGTTTTATTCGGCTTGTCGGTCTTAATAAATGGCTTAATGAATATATCCCAACACGAAGGAGCTCAAATCAGGATAAGTGCACCGAAAAATAATATCATTTTTCGTAAACTACATCGCATAATTTGAGCTAACTGACGTGCAGTAGCTCAGGTTAGGCATTGATAATTGCCCATCCGTTGCTCTTTTGAGATTTGATCCCTCTAATTTTAATCCCTTCTCTTCTGACAATCGCTCCTCTGATTCATCAGAATGTAGATCACTGTATCTAGTATCATTGTATGTCTGTACTTGGATAATGGAATACTGTTACGAAAATGTTATTCAGCGGATCGAAAATTATAGGAGTTTAAATAAATCTGTTGAGTTTGTTGGATTTTTTTTGACCGACTCAATTATTCATTAAAAATCATGGAGAGACTTGAGTGTATTTTAGTTGTGCAGTCTTCGGAGTTTTCCCGTAATTGAGTCGGAGTCGGACTAAGGTTTCCAAATTATTTTTCTTTTACCATGAAGAATTTACCATTATCTTTCCTGAAACTTATGAGACCGGATCTTATATTTTTGCTTCTTCCGAGGTTTTCTGTTGTGTTAGGCTAACTTCGAAATTGGATCTATTCCATCTCCTTGAAGGCGAAATCAGGGACAGGAAAAACGTGCGTATTCGTTATAGCAGCGCTTGAGGCAGTCAAAGCAGCGAACAACCATACTCAAGTCGTGATCCTTGCGCCGACGAGAGAAATTGCTGTTCAAATATCTCAAGCATGTTTGTGGATTGGCCGGAGTCTTCCTGACTTGAAGGCATTCGCTTTCATCGGTGGATTGTCTGTCGAACAAGATGTTCAGAAATTGAAACGATGTCACATCATCGTCGGAACCCCTGGTCGCTTGTCGTGGCTTTTCAAGCAAGGATACGTTCTAACCCAGGTAAGGAAGCATTTCACTGATCCAGAATTTTGGAGATTTATTTAATTGTCCACATTGTGAGAGGATTAGTAAAAAAAGGTGCAATTCTTCAAGTAAATTCAGTGATTGAACGTACGATTACACATTTTTACCAAGGCAAAGCAAAACTTGTCGAAAAAGGAGAAATCTGGGAGACAGGACATTTTTGGCAACTTAGAAGAAGAGGACTTACGGGATTTTCTTGGCAGATTTCTTCTTTCTCTTTGGCACCAAGTCCAGATCATTGTTTTGATAAATTTAAAACAATGGCTTATGGCCCCTCATCAACCGATTGACGTGATCTGGAAATCCCGAAGATTTTAAATTGTAGAAAACGTCGATAAAAAATTATATCAACCGATTGACGTGATCTGGAAATCCCGAAGATTTTAAATTGTAGAAAACGAATACTTTTGGCCCAAATTTTCACATGACAACGGGTGTCACCACTCGTGAACCTTTTATCGTAGATTACAACTGATCAGATATTTTGCACTCTTTTTCTCCTTGGCGTATATGTCTTGACAATAAAAAAATTCTTTAACTCTCTGGATCCAATGGTTCAAGTTCTATAGTCGTGCATCCATGGAACATAAGATGCACGCATGTCAAACTTCTGTTTTTTTTTTTAATAATTTTGTCATCCATGGCATCGAAATGATCATTTTAGAAAGATGTATGAATGGAGGAAATATTTCGGAGAGTCCTCTCCAATGATTTTCGGAATGTCTGACTGCGCGCGTATTTCGGACACCTGTCGTATATGATTTCTCCAATTGAATATACAGTAGTTCTAGGGTACAACGTTTGAACCAGGATTGACGGCGTGTCTTCGTCTATCATTTTCAGGAAGTGAAACTGTTAGTATTGGATGAAGCAGACAAGATGCTGGAGAAGGGAATGAAAGAGGACGTGAAATATATTGCAAGGAGATTGCCTCGAAACAAGCAAGTTATTTGCTGTTCTGCAACTTTCACCAGTGAAATGGAAGCTTTAGTTTGCGCCCTCATGAGAAATCCTGAAAAGGTGATAACAAATCCTCCGTTATTGAAGTTTGGGGTAATTAATTAAAACAAATTAGCGTCGCGATTGATTAAAAAAAAAGTTAAGTTACTCATGGTGGAATAAATAATCCCTCAATAAGTCCGACCGGCTGCGATTGTATTGAATGGTAACTAGTCATGACCTTGGTTTTGAATTAATTTTAATGATTTGATGCTCTGAAAATATTTTTGCATTTCTATCATGTATTTTTTTCAGTTGAGTTTCGGCGTGCGCCTTTCTCCGAAGAGATTATATTGAATCCGATAAATTTATTTTAATGTGATCAAGTTTTTTTGTTTCGTTTTTCAAAGACAGCGTACACTTTTTAAATCCGGTTTGAATCCTGAGTCAATTTTCATGTTCGAAAAAATATCACGAGGAGCTTTTTAGCAGATATGTTTTGTAATTTCAGATTAAGGTGAATGAAGAAGACGGAAACCTTGTAGGCATAAAGCAGTTCTTAGTCAGGGTTGAGCCACATCATGCATTGGATTGGATTTTGGTCCAACGGAAATTTACTGCACTTCTCACGCTGCTTCAGACGCATTCCTTCTCGCAATGCATGGTCTTCGTGAAGTACCAAACAAGAGCTGAAAATCTCGCGGATGATGCGGCCGCAGCGGGGTGGCCATCTGCGTGTCTTTCTGCTCATTTGGATCAAAGAACTCGATTGAAGTAATTCGAAAACAATTAGGTTCCTCGCAAACTTTACTTCAGTTGAACGTGGATAGCTCGGAACTCCCCAAGTCAAATACCTCTCAATTTAAAATTTTTTTCAAGTCCTTGTCCGAATCCCCCCAAGAAACAATGCATTATAAATCACCGTAACTCGGCGGCTTTCCTCCTCAAACCTCCGTGAATAAAATTATCCGGAGGCATTTTGTCTATCATTTCATTGACAAAATGAAGAGAAGAGCAAGAAATGTTTAACTTGATGCGTTTTAAAAGGAAGTGAAAGGCTAATTGGACAAATGAAACCTTGCCTCCCTAGTTCAGCATCCCATCAACTAATTTAAAAAGCAATTTAATGCACAGATTATCCCCAAATACAAAATTCTGTAATTCTTCTGTCTTTCCCAAAAAGAAAATTCTTATTTGCTTTACTCAAAAACGCACTAACTGGAATTTTTTGCTGGTTCCTTGATGTTCGACTTGAAGAGGTTTGATCGTACAGCACTGTATTTTTTGGCAAGGCAGATGTTGCCTGAAATAGGATAAAAGTTTTTCGACCTGTTTTGTGAATGACAATTTTTTCAAGAGGTGCGAGTGATCAAGAAGTGTACCTCGTCTGGCTTTATTTATTATATACGCTTGTCCTTCACTCTAGCCGTGGAGTTTTAAGTCAATTGATAACTGTGTCTGCGTCTTGAGTAAGAAGACATGATCGTTTGCTTTTGTTTCATATTCAATTTCTAATTCTGTTTTTTTTTCTTATATTATCTACGATTAACTTCCTCAGGTGGGGTTTACTTGATGACCGAATCTAACAAAAATGAATCGAATTCAAGTAATCAACGTGTACACCGAACTTACCGTAGGCTTGTTTGAACGGAAAATTCGGGCTACGTATTGATTCGCCTGAAAAATATTATCGAGTTAGGAAATTTGTAAATTGAAGGAATGACTCGGTTTCTTCGTTGACATATTGAAAATTCCTGGTATTTCAGGGCGCTGTCAGACCTTCAAAAACTGCACTGCAGGATACTGTTTGCTACGGATGTTGGAGCTCGCGGAATTGACGTTGAAAATGTTGATCTAGTGGTGAACTTTGATGTCCCGACTGAGCCGGAAGGTTACTTGCATCGGGTTGGAAGGGCCGGACGATTCGGGTCCGCTGGAATAGGTGTGACACTTGTGTCTGGTCCAAATGACGAAAAGCTTTTCAATGTGAGTATTCGCTACAAGACTGATGAATTATCTCAATAATCGGGAATTTTTGTGCTCGTAGAGAATTCTGGGATTTACGGGCAGCAAAGTTTATGAACTACCTTTGGATTATTCCGGAAATCTGTGGGAAGAAAGCGTGGATTCTTTCGTAGTTCACGAAGTTGCACCGCGAACATCGGAAAAGTTTGTGCGAGATGAAGCCTATGCATCGAACAAGTTCGCATCGAAACTTGTGCAACCCGCGGAAGGAAAGCTTTCAAGGACGAAGAGAAAATCGGATTCCGAACTTTCAAGAATTTTTGCTGTTATGAAGGACGCGCTTCGATCAGATATTGACTCGAACGAGCCCCTGTTGAGTCAAGATCTGTATGAAAAATTTTCGAAGGTTGTCGGAAGTCCTTGCAAGTCAGAGACGGAAGAAGCCCTGTCTTGGCTCGATGAAAACTTTGAAGAATCGGATTCAGTTGATTCGATTTGGGAGAAGTATAAGTCGGCATTTTCCGAAGAAACCGGTCACGAAGATGTTGAAGACCAACCACGTCGCGAACATGATTTTGTTGAGCATAATGCATCCCGACATTATAATGAGTTCTGGCTTGAAAATTTTCTCGTCGAAACGCGACGGATACGTGATGAAGTTTTTGAAATTGAATACGAGAAGACTTTGCGGGAATTCGTCTGATATTAATGTTCATTTTGTGTACGGGAGAGAAAATACATTTTTTCTTATTGCTGGTAGATTTTTCTCCGCGACTATATAATAAAGCCTGACGCAATGCGCGTGTACATCAAGTCTAATAACTTCACGGAACTGTACTGTATATCCGCAGAGTAAACCAAAGATATGCTTTCTATTTAATTTTGTTCTGAACTTCAGCATGATTGTCGCTAATTTAAATCTCATAAAGTTCAAATGAGTTATTAATGCCTTTCTGATGAGAGACGCATCAAAATTATTTTCGAATCACATCACGTTACTGTGACAATGCTGTAACAGATAATTCCTGGACGTTCTATCTACAATTTGTGCGAAATTCACGTTGGTTAAAAATGCGAAGACTTTTTTATGCTGTATTATTATGTTATTCTTCGACTTTCACTGAAGCAGAAGCTTAGCGGACCCTGGAGTATGTTTTAGGAAATTCGATCACACTGAAGTCTTGATGATTATTCCTCTTTCAGGGTATGAACGCATACTGTACAGGTAGTGCTGCACTGAAATTATTTTAGTCCTTTGAATTTGGTTGTACGCGAAGTTCACTTACGGTCTGCCTGAGTATGGAGTATACGGTACTGCATATGCTTGTAAGTGCCACATGCATTTGAGCAATTGGTGAACCGTAAAAACAGCTTGAATAATGCATTTTGAAGGAACTGCGGCTACATATTAAAATATGTTTTCCATAATTGTGTCTGTGTTGAGCGCGGGTTCATTTTTTTCAGAATTTATTTATTAATGAATATATCTCCTACTCCCAGTATGTAGCGTTAGCGCATTATAGCGTAATTGGAGTAATACTGTACTGGGAAGGTACGCATCAGCGATCACATTCGCTCCCGATTAACTGTATTGTGACTGTTCCCACAACTTGATTGGGAGACCTCCTGCGCAAGATTTACGACTACAGTACTGCAACTAGAGATTTCGTCATCAAAACTGGAGTACGGCTCCAAAGCCCACTTACATACACGGTTCTCATTACTTTCTTAAACTACACTCCAGGAAGCTGGCGCCATCTTGGACTCGACCTTGTCCAAATGGGATCAGCTGTTCCACTCCCCGTGCAATGCTCCTTGAGCCATCGATCCTGTCTCACGTCGTTACCATCCGCATTACATTCCCTGGTGGCACAGGGAAGCGTGGTAGCCCGCGCCGCCCCCGGAAAAGTCCCTGCTGGAAGTAAAAAGACCTGTGTCCCTTGGCAACAGGATTGTGGTCAAGCATTCCTGACTGCGAAGTGCTGACTCCGTATTAAGTACGCTGGTTTGATGATTGCGTGATCAGTGCGTGGCGCGAAATCGACTTCTAGTTATGTTGACAATTCGGGAAAGCGAATCTGCGCCTTTCTGGTCGTCCGATGTGGAGTCCATGTGTTGTGTTTTTAATATGCAGTGCGGTTGTTCAGCCGGTCGTCGTCGGCGTGAAAGAGTTCATCCGTAATACGTCTTTGTGCGTGCAGAAATACTACCAGACTAGAGGAAGAACAGAAAGAAATCGCAACGAGGAATGCTTTTATTGAATCACTTTTTTTATGTCGCTTTAAACTTGTGTCTTCTCGGGTACTGTGAGGTTTTTTTCTGTACAGTGAATTATGGATTTGCAGTGCAGTATAAGACGTTTTCGGCTGGATCGCTAAAGTAAATAAGCTCCAAGTACTGTATATTATTGTGATGAGGTGAGTAGCTCCCGGAAATTTTTTTCCTGTGTTATTTTTTGTCTGAGCACGTTTCTTCTGCCACCGTTCAATTGTTCAGTTTTATTTTCAGAATTTAAATCTCACTTCGTGGTAGTTCCTTGTACCAATGTGCCCCGTGCGAAGTGCTGCGGTGAATCTCTTGGGCGATCTCCGAAGAACTTCTCCTTTTTCGGACACAGCTTTCGTACCTGGAACAAATTAAAAAACTGGTTATGTGAATCTTCAAATAATTGAGCTGTGAAACCTGTGCTCATCTTATCAGCATGGAGTTTTTCCATCAAGTGAAACTGCTTCTTTGGAAAAATTATCTGTTGAGAAAGCGATCGAGGGTGAGTATCTGCGATTCAGGGGATTTTTGTAAATTACCTCATCGTCGGCGTTGTGCATGGTTTCCAGGTTTTCACAATTGTTGAGCTCTTATGGCCATTGATGCTCTTCCTTATCTTAACGTGGGTGCGAACGAAAGAACTGAAGAAGGAATGGCCCGAATGTGAGCATTACGATGTTGTCATAAGTTATAGAGTAATTTTTGAAATGGAAATTCACTTTCAGGTCATTTTGAGCCGAAGTCGATGCCCTCCACGGGTCTGTTCGAATTCTTCCGGAGTGCCATTTGTAGCTTCAACAATACTTGTCATCGAGATGAGTTCGTTCAGCGAAGTTTCCGTGAAGAACTCATACGACAGGAAGCGGAAGATAATTTTTCCGCCGACCAGAAGTTCACTCAGTAAGTAACATTGATTTTCCCGTGGTATATTAGGTAGTGATGAATTTTATTTTATATCTTAACAGGGTGCTGAATGATTTTGAAAAGGTTCAGAATTTTTTGATGCATTCTATTGATCCCACATTCCTTGAAAGAACGCTGCGACTAATGAACTACACTGCACAAGTGAATGGTAAGAAGATTTCTCGTGGTCTCTGAAGATGTATTTATGTGGAATTCTATTTTTCAAGATTCCGCACAAATTCCTGACTTATCCGTGTTGATGGAATCTTCTTGGGATGCCTGGCTTTTTGGATTCCCCAAAGGCTATGAGAAGTTAATGAACTTCCTTAAAAAGGTATGTTCGAATATTGAAAGGGAGTGATTTCGAATTTAAAATACAATTTACATCTCAGGCAATTGTTCCTGGGGGAGCGAGTGAGAATGACTTACGATGGTACACAAACTCTGCCATTGAAGTGTTACGTGGGTTGCGTGGATTGCAAGTGTCCGAACCGACGAAAAAGTAAATTGTTTCTTAGTGGTTTTTTCCAGATTGTTCGAAAGATATCTAACCTGGGTTTGATTTTTGCCTTCAGTCTTCTGTCAAGATTACGAGCGGTTGATTTCAACGACCCTGCGAAGGGTGACACCGTGACCCAGGTATTTCCTGGCCTAGGAAACGAGACATGGAAACTGATCGACATATTTTGGCCCTTGGGATGCGGAGCAGAATTCAATTATGCCGGACAAGCCATACAACGTGCGCAGAAGTATGGGAAATTAATTCCTCTTTTAGAATCTTTGAAATATGTTTTCTTGAAAATTTCCAAGGAACTCGTTTGACGAAATCGTGAACCGGTGGCAGTTTGAAGTTGAAGAAAATTACACGTCAGACCCGGATTTTTCTCCATTCTGCAACCGTCTATTCCATAAGATGCAGTCAACCAAAGGGGTTACGTTTTTCTGGAAACAAATGAAACCCTTCATCGCGTGCGTATTCAAAAAAAAAAATAGGAAGTGAATTTTTCCCGCAAAGATTTATTTTTATTTTTTTTTTACAGTGGCAAACTCCTGTATACTCCATCCGTTGATTGGACCGACAGAATAATGACGCGGGTCAATTCGTTCTGGGGAGGGCTGAAAGAATTTTTCAATCTTGTGAAATTCTTGCGGGATGTTTTGCCTCTGTTGGATGCGAAGAGCTTGTCGGAGTCGTCGTTTTTTGTGAGTAATACAAAATTTTCAGCCCACGAAAAAAGTTGGGTTGTCAAATGTATTCAAGTATATTCATCGCCTGATAATAATTTAACATGCTTCGTTTTTTTTGATATGCAGGCCACCCTGAGATCCGAACAAGGCCGAAGAAATTTCCGAACGTTAATCGGAGGTTTCAGTGCTGGCGACAATGTTGTCGAGGGATTAAAAAGGTTCGTTGTTGTATTTGAGGCTTTTCAGAAATTTCATCAAGTAAATTTTGGGATTTCATTGCAGGCTTTTGGATTGGGTCGACAGCCCAGAAGCGTCGGAAGCTCATGCGAGAGTTAGCAGTGGCCTAGAAACTTTTCTGGATTATTCTGAGGTAATTTAATAATTCCCGGTGAAGAGCGAAATTACAAGTTTTACGCTGAGGATTTTTTATACAATTTTCAACGTATTCATTATTTGTGACGCTTTATTTTCTCAAGTGCTTTCGATTCGACAAGATCCAGCCTGTGGAGAATGAAGCAGAGTTGGTGGCCTTGGGCCAGAATCTAACAGCTGATAACAAGTTATGGGCTGGGCTGGTGTTTTATCCTGATGTGGACGCGGACAATGCAACAAATGCCACGGAAGACAATCTCGATCTTGCGTCTTGCGTGATTCCATCAAAAGCGGACCATTTACTCGGCAACAGCCTTTCGAAGAACAGTTTGGGTTATCAGAACAATGAATCACGTTGCGCAGATAATTCCACGATGCCAAAATTTGTGGTTTACAAGATTAGGTGAGGTTTGTGATGCTTGAATTTTTGGGTTTTGCTCAATTCTGTTTTTTTAAATTTCTTCTCAGAATGGACGGAGGTAAAGTGGATGATGTGTCAGGGCTTAGGGATCGAATTAAGAACCAAGGTCCCAGGTTTCGTCCCGCGCTCGATTTGAAGTTCATAACATTCGGATTTGCCTATCTGCAAGACTTGGTGGAACAGGCAATAGTGCAAGAGCAAACTTTGAATGTTGGCGGCGTTATTGGTGACTGGACTCCTCCGCCTTTGCCGGGTTTGACGATGCAGCAGTTCCCTTACCCATGTTATATCGAGGACAGGTGAGTATTTCATTCGATTTCTGAAGTAATTTCGGGCACTCTTGAGCCATCAGTAATTTTTTTTCTATTCCCTGCATGTTAACAGAAAAACGGTTGGCAAATCTTCATGAACGTACAGTACCTTGCGCGACTTCGCAAAAAATTGTTCGTCGTGAAACTTTTTTCCGCATTTTTTATTCATACGAGAAACTTGCGTCTTGCTAGGTAACCGAGGAATGGACATTAAATTATGTGATTTAACTGAATATTATACGAAATTTTGTATTGAAATTTACTGATATCGTCGACTAAAAAATAGATGTTGAAGGTCCATCTCTATAAATTGGGTTTCTTTATATTTAAAAATATGCCTATATTTAAGCAATTTTTTCTTATTTTTGCGTTTACTAAAAATTTCTCTAGAGCTTAGCTAATTTTTTTTATTTTGGCTCTAAAAAAATAAATAATTTAGTGCTGAAATTTTCAAGTACTGTACAATACATTCGGGAATTTTAAAAGTAAAGAATGACTGCCATATTTTGCATGCTGCATTCACGTTGTGTGTATTGCAAAATTACGTAACTTCGCGATTGATGAAGATTCTTAGTTTTCTCTTTTATCTGGAAAGTGAATGAGTAATTTCAGGAGATCATTGAATCTTAAGAACGTATTTGAGAAACGAAGCAAATTTTTCGTCGATCCAAATGACGCATTGTATACTTTATAGCTTGATCATTTGATGAAATACAGTACGCAATTTTAATTTTATGAGTTAATGTCTTCTGATATAACGTTGAATAAACGTATAGATTTTTCTTCTATCCGAAATATTCCATCAAATTTCAGCATTTGTGGTTTTGTGGTTTCATTTCACAGATTCATCATAGCAATCGAACGTACCTTCCCGATGTTCATGGTCCTCTCCTGGGTCTTCTCTGCTGCGATGGTCATCAGATCTGTCGTTTACGAAAAGGAACTTCGTCTTAAAGAAACTATGCGAGTTATGGGCCTCAGTCGCGGCACGCACTGGGTTGCCTGGACTATCTCCTCGCTTTGCGTCATGTCGGTTTCTGCAGTACTTCTTGCGGGGCTCCTGGTTATTGGCAGAACCTTGGACAACACTTCCTTTGCCGTCGTCTTGCTGTTTTTGTTCAGCTATTCTGTGGCGACTCTCATGTTGTCCTTCCTGCTGTCTTGCTTTTTCTCACGCGCAAATTTGGCTGCAGCCGCTGGCGGAATATTATTCTTTGTGACCTATCTTCCGTACCCATTCATGATTGTTTGGGATCACAGTGTTTTGGACTGGCAGCGGTTTATTGGGGTGAGTGTTCCAATCGTTCGAAATTTTTTGCTGAGTAAAATTATTCGAGTACAGTCAAACCTCTTTTAGTCGAACTTCAAGAGACCTGAAAATAATTTGACTTAAAGAGGTTCCGAGTTTGGGAAATAAGCATTTTTGTTGGGAGGAAAGATTTGTAAAGTATTATGAAGAAAATTGTGATATTCTGGGCCTTGAATGGTTTTTTAAAAATGAGTTGACAGGATGATATCCCTGTGTCAATGAGACGGTAGCCACAATGCCTTCTAAAAATTCGACATATGGAGATTTGAGGAGGAAAGTCTTCGAGTTAGGGAGGTTTTCGAATAATTTTTCTGAGGGAATTTAAATATGAATTTGAGAAAAATTTGGCTTGGGGAGGTTCTTGTCATTGAGGTTCAACTATAAAGTAAATCATTTTCGAAATAACTGAAATAAGGGAAAAATCGAACAAGTTGTCAGGTCGACTGAGGATATCGACGAGATAAGAAAAAGGGCGAGGCTTAGATGAAGTAAAGGTTACTGTATATTCAAACCCCCATGTCATGCGTCCGAAATTTTATATGCAAAGTTTTTCATGTCGACGGAGTAAATTTAATTTTTTAAGGTTAATTAAGGTTTTAGATTGGGTTGACACTTGTCTGATGTTCAGAAATTCCGAAAGCGAGGAAATTGAACAGACGTGTGATACAAACCTCTGGTTCGAAAATTGAAACTAATAGCATTCGAACGATGTTATTTCGTGGGTTCTGAAAAATTTGATCATCGTGAAAGATTATCTTTTTAGGATAACTTCATGCATACTGTATTTCGAGAATGAAATTAGTTTGGATAGATGTTTTGTACAATATGCTGTTACAAGTGTTACTGTATTAAGAAAAGTTCCTTTTTTTCTTTCAACTGCGAAATAGGATAGCTAATAGAAAGATCAAAGTTTTTGGCAGTTCACATTTCTCTCGTTTTTATGCATTTTACAGTCGGCCCTTTCAAACGTTGCCTTCGGTTTCGGTTGCGACGTGTTGGCCGAATGGGAAGAACTGGGCGTGGGGGCGCATTGGCACAACTTATTCCAATCTCCCGATCCTTTCAATACCGAATTGAGTCTCGGTAGTCAGATCTTGGCACTCTGGGTGGACGCAATGTTGTATTTTTTGGCGGCCGTGTACATCGAAGGGGTCTTCCCGGGCCGCTATGGCGTGCCCTTGCCTTGGTGGTACCCGTTCTCTTTGTCGTACTGGTCGGGTGATTTTGTTGGCAAGGATAACAAGTTCGACGCTGAACCTGCTAGTCCCGGGAACAGAAAAGGTGAGTCAATGGCGTGAACGGCTTCTTAATGAATATTTTACTCTTTTCGATAAAAAAAAATTATATTTTCACTGCTGCTTGGCCAGCCAATAATTAAAAATATGCTTACTGAATTACACCATCTTTGAATAAATTTTAGATAACGAAGAAATGCCGACTGTAACTCGCTGAAATTTCGAAGTCATCAAATGCTGCTGTAGGTTCTGCATACAGCCACTTGACAGCACTCATTTGGAAGACTTTCTCGCGTCCAGTACAACGATACTTTATTTTGTTTCGAATAGATGTCGCTGGTGATCAAAACCACATAGTGAATAATTATTCTCAGTCATCCTTATTCCCATTTGATTTTGGATTAACAATGGATTTGTGCATATTTTTTACTTGTATTAATTGGAAGAATATGGTAGGAAGCGGAAGTTGTTTGGCTTCTGCGTGAAGTTTCGCAAAATTCTAGGAATACATTGAAAAAAAACTTCCTTCTGTATCTATCTATTACGTATCATAAAACCTTTCCGATGCATTCATCATTGTCATAACTGAATTTCGATCCACTGCTGTGTTTCTTGTACTCTTATAATTTTAAATATGTCTTTTCTTCGGCACAGTAGCTTTTTGAAAACCGTGTGATGCATTTTTTTCTTTTGGCGTTAGTTAGTTTTATTTTTTATTTTTTTTTTACTTGAAAGTTGGAATGAAAAAGCCAACCTTAATCACTAGACGTACATCCCAATTTAAATACTGTAGCTGCAGTATTCAAGCGTATTGAATTCTCCTATCTTTCCCTCAGTGAATGAGAGTGATCCGGTTGGACTGACGAAAGGAGTGGAGATGATCAACTTGCGCAAGGTGTACGATGATTACGACAAAATCGCGGTGGATAACCTCAATTTGTCATTCTACGAAAACCAAATCACGGCGTTTTTAGGTCATAATGGAGCTGGCAAGACGACGACTATGTAAGTTCATTCATTGTATTTTACCATCTCTGTCCCGATGTTGCATAATTCTTGGAGACGTATAAACGAATTAACGTATGCAAAATGCCGTCCGTAACAATTGATTTAATAAATCCCGCGCAAATTTTTGACACAATCGAGGTCACATTCGTTCCCAAATTAATTTGTGCCGATTCAATTGCAAGAAAAGAAGGCATTTTCTTGTAACATAAGGAACTGTCCTTTTTCTCGCAATAGAAACAAAGCACAAATTAATTTAGAAAAGAATGTATCTGCGATCGTGTCAAAAATTTGTGCGGGATTTCTAATGCAAGAAAATGTCCGTTTCCTGCAATTAAATCAGCAAAAATTAATCTAAGAATAACCTCGATTGTGTCAAAGATTTGCGCGGGATTTCAAGATTGAGGATTTCTTGAGGTCAATCGTTGCGTATAGTTTTTTATAACTGTATACATTATTTCGTTTATAAATTCATTGGGCTTCTGCATTTCCTTATTGTTCGGGAAAGGGCACTCCACCGTTCGCTATGTAATGCCTTTGTTTTGTCTGGTCACGAACCCCGGAAGGCAGGTGAATTCATTGAATTTGCATTGATCATGTTTAGATCGATTCTGACGGGGCTACTTCAACCGACTGCGGGCACAGCGAAGATCTATGGCCAAGATATTCGCACGGAAATGGACTCGATCAGAAAGTCGATGGGCGTTTGTCCGCAGCATAATGTCTTATTCCATTAGTAAGTTCTTTTCAAATTTCGTCGCGTCATTTCTGGGGAATTTTAAGCATACTTGTGTCCCGCTGCTCGTAAATTCTTCTGTGTCGTGATTCATCTTGCAGAAATCCGTAGAAAAGACGTTTCTGGGAATTATAAATTTAGAATTATCAGTTTTAAAAAGAGGACAACATTCTGCAAACATCTAGAGTATTTCCCATTTAAAAAAAAGGACTCGTGGCTCCTGTCGTGAAAATAATAGGAAATTCGTGACATTGGCAGAACAACAGGAATTTTTTTGTCGAAGTGGGAGAGATGGAAGAATATATTTGGACATCCACAATGAAACGATGCTAGTCTCTATTGACTGATGGAATTATGTTTGAAAATAATTATCCTGGGATTTTCCCTGAAAGCTCTAAGAATTGTCCCTCGACTTTCCCCGGCGCCAAAATATTTCTGGGACGATGTCATAGTTCATGTAGAAAAAATCAGGTAAATGGTATCGACTTTCTTCAACGCAAATTGAATTAAATTTTTTTCATTGCTCCGCAAAATAGCCGGACATTTTGTTAGTTAATTTATTAATATTACTTAACTTTCGAAGCTGTCTCGACGGCTTAGAATGTAATAAGTCTCTGTCGAGTCACCCGATACAGGAATGATGCCTTTGAAAATGCTAATGTCCCCTGTTTCTTGTTTTTTTTAAAAATTTAGTATGACAGTGGAAGAGCATTTGTTATTCTATGCGGGACTGAAAGGCACGTTAAGTGACCAGGAAATGGACCGAGAAGTACAGGATATGATACGGGACTTGGGACTGCCAAAAAAGAGACATGAGCTCTCTTGTAATTTATCTGGTGGAATGCAGAGAAAATTATCAATCGCCATTTCATTTCTGGCAAAATCGAGGTTGGTTTGCCATTCTTTGTAATACAGCAATTGATTCCTCGCGAGCTGTTGAAGTATCTCGAATATCATAATGCGTAGTTTATTTTATTTCGTCAAGTATGGCACATGGTGATGGCTTCTTTTATTTTTAGAACGGTTTTCCTTGATGAGCCAACTGCTGGCGTCGATCCTCATTCACGAAGAGCTATCTGGAAACTTTTGACGAAATACAAAAAGGGTGAGATGATTTTGCTGAACTTCGTGCTCTTTTTATTTTCGGATTGCTCATTCACTTTTCCGAACTTTCAATGAGGTTGTCTGTCTTCTATCTCTACTGAGCATATTTTTCGTTTAATCGCTCCAACACTTGACCTTGCTTCTTGGAACTTTTGGCGTGGCTCGCGTTATTAAAACCCCCTCAATAGTGCAATTTAACCTGAACTAGCATAAAAAAACCCTGAAGCAATTTAGGACTCTCTGGACCTAACTTGAACCAGATGAAGCGGGACAGTTTAGGCGGTAATTACGTATTGTAATTGAAAGTAAAATCATGGACTTCAAGAAATCGGGCGCTTCAAGCGGATCATCAAAAATTTTCAGATGCAAGGCTAGGAAGGATGGATGTGTCATTTAATTGATGGATTTTATTTTGCAGGAAGGACGGTAATCTTGACAACGCATCACATGGATGAAGCCGAGATTCTGGGGGACCGGATTGCGATTATATCCTGTGGAGCTCTGGTCTGCTCGGGTTCCGCATTGTTTTTGAAAAAACTCTATGGATCCGGTTACGTGCTGCGTGTCGTGTTGAGCGAGAATCTTGGGAAAAACGTGAGCATCCCTTCACTGTGTAATTCGTTCCACCGCGTTGTTTTACGTTTACACGCTTCATTTTAATTGCGCAGATTTAATTTTTCTTTCATACTTGTCATGGACGTTATTTTTGTGTGAATTTTTTATTTATAGGATGAAGATGTTGCTAATGATGGCGAAACCGAAAAGGCTGCGAAAAAAAGGATTCAGCATTTTCTGAGGCAGCTGTATCGAGGTATTCGAGTGGCCGAAGAAGTCGGGTCGGAGATTTCTTTCTTGTTACCATGGAGCAAGAACTCAGAAGAAGTTGTGAATGCTGTGGGAGATTCACATGGTGAGCAAAAGTTTCAGTACCTCAATCTACATTTAATCATTGTTCGTGGTTTTTTTAGAGAGTCACGAAAATGTGAGGGAAAGTCACGTGAAGGATGTGATGCGACTGCAAAAGCTTCTGGAAGCATTGGACAAACGCATCGACGAGTTGCCCATTTCTTCGTATGGAATTTCCGACACGAAACTGGAAGAAGTAAGTGTTGATTGCGAATGAAGAACAGGACTAAATTGGATCCCTGTTTGGCAACTTCAAGCATACGTTTATGTTTTGTTGAGTTAATTTGAGATCTCATCCTTTTTTACGTGGAACTTTTTTTTAATCCTTCGAAAAAGCGAATCTAAAAGCATTTTTTGTCTTCATATTATGTCAACACTTTTTGTGCATATGGACCAAAATCCGCACAAATTTTTGAAAGATGATAGATTTCCAGACTATGGGTTACAATAATTTAAAAAACAAGGAAAATGGGTTGCAATGTGAAAAAGAAACGTGCTTTGAATGTCATTCACTCAATGTCGTTCACTTAGCCATAAATATTATGCCCATGGCAAATCTCCAAAAAATGATACTGTACTGAGGAAAAATGTTGCCAGAAACTTCCTGATATCTGTGCCTTGAATTGATAAATCGCGGTATTCGGTCGAGAAAATTTTAAAAGCTCGACCTCAGTGGTTGGAAGATGTTGTATGAGGTAGTGTGCCTTCATGATTTGTAATTTTTTGACTGCTCACATTGATTTTTGCACGCTGATCTTTTACTAACTTGGTGCTCAGACGCTCGTTGAATTTTTTTAAAACAATTTCTTATCAATCTTCTTAATGCTTTAATTTTTGTATGCGGAAATTTTTGGTTAACGTATTTTTATTCCCTTTTTTCAGATCTTCCTTCGGGTGACGTCAGATGCCGATGTTGGCGCTCCGAAGAAAAAACGCAAATCATTGCTCCAGCTGCTACTGGAAACCTACGCCCGAGGCAAAACGGAAATCATGACGACGCTGCAGTCCTCGCCTTCAATCATCTCTGCCACGTTGCCGGGCAATCGTCGCGGCTCCGACGCCTCTTCCGTCACTCCGTGTTGCACGCCGGCATATGGAGATTGTGTCAACCGCCTGCTTGCGTCTGCTCGAAGGCGGCGGAATGTCGTGAATACCGCCGAAGAGCCTGCTAAAAATTCGGCGGCTATAGATATCCCCAACGTTGCAAGAGAAGGCAATGGGGAGGCGAAGAATGAAATGAATGAAGAAGACGGCGACGGGATAGAAGACGAGGAAGACCCGAGTGCGCCGTTGTCCCCGAAGAAGATTTCGCAGCCGAGAATCGTTCGGATGACGCAGGATAAACGTGAGACAGTCTTTCAAATATTGTGCTTGATTGACGTGCCGATGAGTCGCTGAGCGGGTCGAGTTTCTGTTGACAGATAATTGTTCGGAGGATAATCGGATCAAGAGCTGTCTGTATTGCCGGATAGAATCTTATTTAAAATGTATATCTTGATTAAAGAACCATTAGCGAATTATTCTTTTTCCCACAGAAAGTCAAGGAAAATATTTTTTCTGAACGAGCTGCATGAATGTCCCGATTACATTGTAATGCTCGAACACTTTTGTTGAGAATTTTCCGAGGCATTTATAAATGATTTTCCTTTTTTCCGCTTAACTCCAAATTCCTTTTTTGTAATGTAGGAGTTGATAAGATCTTAAATTTTCTGAATTTAATCCTTTCCGTGATGGGTATCAATTTTGGCTATTCCAGGTTTAGATTATTTCAATTTTGTCTGTCGTCTGTTGGATGCCGGCTATGATGTGTTGACTAGTTCGGTTAACTTCTTAGATTGAATTCATGTTTCAAGCGACATCGAATATTGCAAATTTTCCTCCGCGTGAATGAGCAAAATGTAATGAGGATTGTGCATGTACTTTTTGCCTTTAAAAAAATCCTCACGCATGATTACTTCCATTCTTTGCAGAGTACAAAAATCTCGATGGTGGAAAGCTGCTTGTGACGCAGTTCCTCGCAGTAGAAGCGAAACGGTATCATCATGCCAAACGCGACTCGCGGACTCTGTTCTGCCAACTCGTCCTCCCGGTTCTTTTTGTCACCCTGGCCATGATGTCAACGAGTATCGCCCCGGGGATCGATGTGGAAGACGAATACAACTACCGAGAACTCCACCATTGGCACTATCATTCTTCTCCTGTGGTGTTCTTCAGCGAGTCGGACGCCTGGCGAGCTTCCCGAGCTGCTGCTGCGGCCAACAGAACCCTGGAGGAGCAGCAAGCGAGAATCAACGTGATAGACGACGACGAGGCTTGGTTCAATGAGGATTTATTTGGAGATGAACAACAGGACGTGGGGAATGGTGTAGGAAGACGAGGAGAGAAGAGATTCGAGGATATTTTTGATATCCTTGGTGCTGACGGGACTACGGGTGGAGCCGTGACAGACCCTTATTTAAGATCCATGTTGTCGCCGACTGGAATCGGGACTAGATGTGTTCATGAGCATTAGTGAGTGTTTATTTGAATTTTTGTGGTACTATAGTCTCGTCTGGGTTATCCGAAGTTACCCGTGACAACTATGTTGCCAGTACAAGTGAACTCTCTCCACAACGATCTTTTCCAATTATTTTCTCTGTATATCGAATTTGTTCTTGGTTCTGTGGGGCTCTCTTCTCACGTTATAGTGGTTTTCTATGATGAAATTTTCATCTGGTTCCCTTAAATTTTGTCGAGAGAGATGCCACCTGTGTTTACTTAACTCGAAATGTTCAGCCTAAAATTTGGATAAAAACGCATCCCCGATTAAGATGTGCACCCCATTTCAGAGAATAAAAATTACAAATCTTGAAGATAAAATACGTCAGAATTCAAATTTTGAATTGAAGTGCGATCAAATTAAATGTCAATTACTCACTTTCCCATCATTCACATCTACAAAAATATTATTTCTGTTGACATTGGTTCAAAATTCCCTGTTGAAATCAAGTATGGCAAGCACCAAACCTTTTAAAATCGGTTAAAATTTTATATCCGCTTATGTTAAGCACCCTCCTTTTTCCTCTTGATTTTGAAAAATTTGCGTGTAGTATTTAAAAAAATACTCCAAAATTTCACTAATAATGGCCAAAATATTACTAATGCGAGATAAATTTGTGTTGAACTTAGTTCATGTACGACATTCTATAGAACAGGGCTTTTTAATGTTGGCCATATTTAAGGAGGGCGAAAGTTTTCTGTGTCATCGGGGATGTTCTCATGAGAAGAAACAAAATTATATTTGGGTGAAACTTCGTGGAAAGACTTTCTATTTGTGCAGTTAATTTTTCGGATCCTTTGTTTAATAAGTTTAAATTTTCTATTTTATTCATCTTAGCTATTTTCCATGCTTGAGATCTATTGAGTACAATGTGACGGATCTGGCGGAGCCTTTGAATGGGACGTTTCCACTTGGCGACTGCTCATGCACGAATGGAGGACAGTATTGCCCTGCTGACGCTTCCAAACCTGAGCCAATCGGTATACAAATGCCAACCTCCGACTTTGTTGTCAATATAACCGACAGAAACCCGAGTCAGTGGATTATCAATACTCATCAAGCGATGAAACTCATCAGGTAAATCTGTTATTTTACTTCCAAGCACTGATACAGTATGTGTTCGTGAAAAGATCAATTTTCTCGTGACGTAAATCTGCATGTTTATTTATGTATATCGAAGGTGATGTTATCGTCCGCTGATCCGATTGAAACCCGAAGTTGAAAACTTCAACTTGAATTAAGTGCCAATGTTGCAATTAATGTAGCATTTCCAAGATCTCGATTAAATGCCGCCCGTTAATTTTTTCTTCAGAAATTTCGTCACGTTATCGATTTAAAGGATGAAAACTTCAATGATCGAAACTCGTCTTCATGTTTTCTACTCTTCAACGCCGTTTGTATTTCTTGTAGTTGATACAATATTTTATTTTTCTAGAAGATTTGTTGAAAGCGTCAGCGAGTTTGAGTGGAGCAGTTTAATATGCATTCAATTTTCGTTTTAATACTTTAAAATTGTGTGTTCATTATTCACGCCTAAATTTTGCAATTGTTTTGAAAAACCGCGAAATTTGGATTAAATCTGATGAAGCCTTTTTTTGAACCCGTGTACAGTGATGATTTCGAACCTCAACGGTAATTGAAGAAACTTCGAATATTTTATTGTCTTAATATTCTATGATTATGTTTTAATTCTAGATATGGTGGGTATACGTTCGGAATGAAAGCGCCTGGTCCGTTCAGCGACAGTCCACCATGGAATGTGAGCAGCGTAGGATTGTTGCTCGCAGGGGCTGCCAGAGCATTCAATGTCACCCTGGGAGACGAGTTGGCCACCCGATCTCTGCTGCTTGACAAGACGCTGAATCATGATGAGCCTGACCGTGTTCGAGGGTACAATGACACCACCAGACCGTATATCAAGGTCAGCTTTCACGATCGTGAACAATTAATGTTTTCTTCGTTGCGTCGCTTCGTTTACGATGACAGAAACCGGCAACTTCTAAAAGGAATGGAAATAAATATACTGTACTCGTATTTCACAACCGCTGGAATGCGAATCTTATTACCCAAGAGGGTATTGTACGGGGTTCGGTTCGAAAGTTTTGTCGCTCTTGCGGTCAGTCTCATCAGGACAATAATTCGCGAAATGTGAACAATTTTAGTGGAGCATTTCCAATCCTTTCTTGATTTTTTTCTTTTCACATATCTGTCTACTACAATTGGAGTACGCATCATCCGTGTGTTGCAAGTTTACGCGTTGGGCTGCATTTTTAAATGATTTTTAAGGTGGTCAAAGTGCTGCCCAATATTTAAAACAGGCGAGGAATTATTTTAGGAATAATCCGATACCGCGCAGCCAAGTGCTGATTGAACGACAGCACAGTACTTCATAATTTTTTTTTTCGTTTTTTTTTTAGCGATGCTCAGTGTGAAGGTTGCTCCGATAAGTAAACTGTATGCTGATTATCAGGGGATGTAAGTGAAAGTAGGATTATTTTGCAAGTCTTGACGTGCGGTATTTTCAGGGATTCTGACTCACATGTGCTGGTATGGAAATTCTCGACAGAGCTCCATTTTCAGCGATTAATTTGATACTTCGAGGCTTTCGTTTGAAAATTAGAATTAGTGTGGAGGATATCGATCAAGAGTTAAGAGGAAGTCGCTTGACATAATGTGATCAAAAGAATTCTGAATCTAAGGGGAAAAATATTCCGCAAATGAAAAAAATAAGACATTCAACTGCACGTATTGACGGAAAAGTTTTCGACACATCGAACACGTTTCTGAATGTAAGTTAATTTTTTCCGCAGGTTTGGTTTTTCAATAAGGGATGGATCACGTCGGTGGCGTTTATGAACGCCATCAACAACGTGATTTTGCGGACTCATTTGGAGGCGAAATTTCGCATGATGAATTCTTCGGAGGATGCCATTTTACCCGATTTTCGGGAATACGGTGTGGCTGTCGTGAATCATCCGATTTCGACAGACAACGCATTTCAAGCGACTATCATGTAAGAAATTTTTGGCACGACTGAATTCATTCAATTTTTGAATATACATTAATTTTGTGTGCAGCTTCGAAGTGCATTTTTAAAAACTTCGGATTAAATTCCCCCAATTTTTGGGTTTATTTGCTTGCCCCGTAGAGGTTTCGTTTATATATTTTTTGGTAAAGTACTGTACATGATTTAAGACCTGTCGGAAAATTTCATACGTTGAATCCTTTGCCAGCAGTTAGTTCACCAGGGTTCATTCAAATATCGCTGACATCTTGTAAGTTTTATAAATACTTCATGTTAATGGGGTCATGTTAATATTTTTCCAAGAAAGTAGCCAAATCACGCCGCCCCTAGTCATGTAAATACTGTACTGTATTATTCTTCAGGAATTGAGTTTCGTGTTTTATGTGCGTAGCAAACGATCAGCATTCGCCCTCCTGCACTCAATCTGCGTCATCTACGCCATGAGCTTCGTACCGGCAGCATTCGTAGTGTACCTGATCGAAGACCGGATATCCGGTTCAAAGCACCTTCAATTCGTTTCCGGTCTGCCACCGTGGCTCTACTGGATTTCCGCCTACGCCTGGGACATGAGCTCGTACCTGGTTTCTGCGTCTCTCTGCGTTTTCGTCTTCCTCGTGTTCGATGAGGAGGCGTACGTTGCGCGGGACACGTTTCCGGGGTTATTGGTTCTCATGGTACTGTACGGCTGGGCCACCGTTCCGCTCATGTACCCGTTCAGTTTCTTTTTCGAGACGTCGAGTTTCGCATTTGTAGCGCTGGCAACTGCCAACCTGTTCATTGGCATCGTGTCGACGATCTCGACATTCGTTTTGGAGATCATGGAAGAAGAGGTTTGTTGTTCGAAACCTTTTTTTTATAAATTGATTTCAGGAATCAAATTTAAAGGACGACAGCATTTAAATTCCCTTCTTCTTTACGTAAAGATTATATTTTTTCTCGATTTTTACCGAGGTTCCTGTTTCTAAGGGTAAATAATTTTTCTAAACTAGGAAACCCCTCTTTACGGACTTTTCGAGCTTGTTGTAGGGTGTCCAGAGAATTACTAGACTGCGTTCAATTAAAAAAAATTAAATTCGTGCGGTTGTGACAAACAAGGGAGTCTGCGCAACCACAAACATTTTTCATATAAGAAATAAATTTTCTTTGACAATTCTTTCATGGTTCATTTGGAAAACTACATTAATCTATTTCTGTGGAGTATCTTTTTGAACAGATGACAGTATTATCGAAAAGCGTTTTTATTCTCGGCTCATGTCCGAGACGTTAGCACTATCTTGCAAATAAAATACCCTTTTATTGTTAACGTATACATCCGGTCGCCCGTGCAAATAGAAGTGCAAAATGCTTTGAGACAAAACGTTGGACTCGTAAAATCACTTTTTTTCCTCTTGAGCAGGAGTTTCAAGACATAGCGAATGTTCTGAAGCAAGTGTTCCTTGCGTTTCCACAATACTGCCTTGGAAGGGGATTGATGGAGTTGGCCAAATTCAAAGTGATTTCTTCGTCAGTGGCAATGATTCTTGACACGGAAGTCAAAGAACTGGACGTGTTTGAATGGACGTTCCTCGGAAGGAATGTTGCGAGTATGATTGCGCAAGGTTTCTTGGGATTCGCTGTCACTTTGTTGATTCAATACCGGTAAGTTTGGGTTATGATAAATCGACGAAAAATTGAAATTTCTTGGTAGCATCAGGATTTTTCTAATAAATATAGACCACGCATTAAGGGAATTTTGACAGGGATTGAAGACTAATTTTACAGATAGAGGTTTTCAACTTGGGAAGATTTGAGTTAGCGAGATTCAACTTCATTTCGAAAATTTGTCTCGTGAACCTCCATTGCATGGATTTTCTTCAGCAATTTTTTTTTCTGCGTACAATTTTTCTTCTAGTCTTGGTAAATTTCATGTGTTCAAGAGCTTCATGGTACAGTAAAATGATTTAGGTAATGATTTCCTGATTCAAGAGAAGAGTCTAGTTTACTTTTTTCAAAATTTGAATACTTTTTTCCTTCTAATACGTGTTGTGATGAACATTTCTTTCGCAGGCCGAAGTGTGGCTGGTGGTCATTGATACGCTTCAATTCCTGTTGCGTTTGCTTCCGGATCGGAAACTCGATGAAAATCATGCTTTTCCGCATACTGCGAGCCGCGTCGCCGACTGCGTTCGACAAGTGGCGCCTCGACAACGAACTGCGTGTAGTGAGTACACGTTCGGAAGCCGGCGGCAAAACGGAGTCGGAAGACGAGGACGTTGCTCGTGAGAGACGGGAAGTGTTGGACGGTTCTGGCGAAGCCACGTTGAAAGTGGTGAACTTGACCAAAGTATATGGAAAGACGGATCTTACTGCAGTGAATGGAACGTGTTTCGCTGTGAGACGCGGGGAATGTTTCGGGTTACTCGGGGTCAACGGTGCCGGAAAAACGACTACCTTTAAGGTGACCATGATGATATTTTTGAGAATTTATGGTCGAATTTAATGTTTTGCAATTCAGTGGAAAATAATGGATGAGGAAAGGAAAAGTGCAAGGGATTTTGCTTGATTTTTGTCATTCGTATGCTTTTCGTGTTGGAATTTTCATTTGATGACTATAATTTTATAGAATGATGATTATTATCTGACCTTGAAATCTTTGTTCGCCCCGTGTTAAATGCAAAAAGACAGCTAAGAGTTGAACCACTCCGTCTCTGAAAGGATGTAAGGTTTACATTCCACACGAGTGGAATAAATTTGCAACGATTTCAAATACAGTAAGTTATCGTTACAACGCATTTTCAACTGTGACAAACCTTTTATAAAACCCCGGAAGAAAGCCGATGGAGTGCATATTGAAACAATCTCAATATAGCAAACATCTTCATTCCAGTGGACATTAATTTTTGATGAACGTTTCATAGATCCTCCGGGTAGAAATTTCCTGACATGCAAGCAGACGCAGCTGAAATTTCTGATCCAAATGTGACTGATGGTCCAATTCTTAGAATGCATGATTAAAGCCAATTTTTTTCTCAAAAGATAACTTGTTTTCAAACAATAATAAAAAGCTGAGAATTCCAGAAAAGCAAGGTCTAATTGATTATAGACAGGTCTGATATTCAAATTTGTTCCAGTCATTAATTTCGCAAATCTCTTGAAAAATTATTCAGTGTAACAAACTTTTCTGAAGTCTGCAAAATTTGTTGTAATGAGATTTTACTGTTGTACCTGTATTCAAAGCAGCTTTGCTGGTGAAAACATCCCTGATCAGAAGTGACAACTATGTTGAAATAATTATAATTTTTTTTTAATGATCAGATGCTGACTGGAGATGTTAGCATTACGTCGGGTGACGCTTTCGTGGACGGATTCAGCGTAAGAAATAAATTGAACAAGGTGCGTCGGAGACTCGGTTATTGCCCCCAGTTTGACGCCCTGGATCCTCTGCTCACGTCCAGGGAGCATTTGTATTTATATGCTCGCCTGCGTGGATTGCCATCGCAACAAATGGAATCGGTGATTTTTTTTCTTGTCAATTTCGTTTTGAAAAATGTGTTTCTTTGGAAAGCTCAAATTGTCTTTGATCAGAAATTAGTTACTGCACCACTTTTAAGCATGCATACAAGGTGACCCGGGAATTTTTTGTATTTACTGTATCTTCGAAAAATGATGAACCATGAATGTCGAAAATCTGTCTTAGACTTAGAGTACAATAAAAATCAATTCAAGTGTTTTCAATGGTATATGATCTTATATATTCATTGCTTCATATATTGGTCACTAAAATCATTGGGAGAAAAACGTGTCCCTTGGAAGCATGAGTCAGTATTTTTGAAAAATTAATTTCACCTTCAATACCTGTGCAGTATTTTTAAATTATTGATTTTTGTTGCTATCGGATATCAATTTATTTCAAATTACATTTTCTAAATTAAGCCGAAAGTCTGCATTTCAGTTCGTCTAGTTTCAAGGCATTGTTGTCTAGAAATCGGTTTCAAAATTGTCCGGGCTTTCGTATAGATTCAGTTTTATGCAGATTTTTGGAGCCAATGAATATGCATGGTCGTTGTTTAATGCAATTTGTAAATTTAAAAATCGCAGACCGTGGATTCTCTGCTTGAGCGAATGAACCTCGGATATTATGCGGACCGAAAATCCGAAACTTACAGTGGAGGGAACAAGCGGAAATTGTCCACTGCCATCGCTCTGGTTGGAAATCCATCTCTCGTCTTTTTGGTGAGTTTTGTGTTCGCGAAAATGAAAACAAAAGTGTCTCTAATTTTCGAAATTTAATAAATGAATTTACCGTGCAAGTGTAATATGATCTGGAAAAACTTGGTCCGATTTGTAAATTACGGAAGGATTACGTAATTCACACCTGCAATTCCTTTCGAGTTTGTAAATGTACTCCATTATTTGTCGTCATTCATGAGTGCTTGATGATGATGCAGTATTCTTTGGAACGAGCCCTTGGAAATTAGTTTTGTTTAATGCTATTTTAAAGTCAATTTAAATCTTCTACAGGATGAGCCAACAAGCGGCATGGATGCCGGTGCCAGGAGATTCTTGTGGAATTGCATCCTGGACTTGGCTCACAAGGACAAGCGTTGTGTGATACTCACTTCACATTCCATGGAAGAGTGTGAAACGCTCTGTTCTCGCTTGGCTATTATGGTTTCTGGATCATTCCGCTGCATCGGATCTGTGCAGCATTTAAAAAACAAGTGAGTTTGATGAAAACCGTCGAGGAATAGGCCGCACGTCAATTCATGGCCGGCTTTTTATGGCGTTTGAAAAACGTGAGATAAACAGTGAAGCATTGCTGTTTTTGGCGTGAGAAACGTGCTAATTTTCCACGAAATGAGTTTCTTAGGTTTCCGAATGTTTGTGTACTGTGGAACAGGAATCAATTAAATTTTCGGAATTATGTAGTTTGGAAGTAAGCAAGGTTGTATTGCTAATGTTTGTTTGTAAATTAACTTGGTGTGCAGTTTTTGGCGTTAAGAACGCGCTAATTAAAAAAAAAAAGGGTTTCTGAAGCTTCCAAATGTTCGGATACAGTACTGAGCTGTAGGAATCAGTTATTTTTTTTTACATTTTCGGAATAAAGTACTATTATAGGAATTAGCTGTTGCATGTTTCTGATTTTTTTTTAATTATCCATGATCTCTATAACATTGTAGACCGCATCCGATTTGTTTTTCGTAAAATTCTAAAAAAGTTCGAATTATCTCGCGCTCTGTAAATATTCCTTCTTAAAATGTATCTGGGCGTGGGCCTTTAAATACGACAGGAAGGCATTTGATTTTTGCTGAATTCCGAAACGTTTAGTTTCCTTTTTTGCGTGTTGTAGATTCGGTTCTGGTTATACGCTGAGCATGCATGCGGCACCCTGGGACTTGGAGAAGGCGGCGAAGTTCGTGGCGGACGAGTTGGCGGCGGCCGGCGGGTCGGGCCATTTGCAGGAGCGGAACCCCACGCGGGTTGTGTACCATTTACCTCATCCAGGGCAAGGTGGCGTCCCGCTTTCAGCTGCCTTCCGGATCATGGAGCGAGGGCGCGAGCAGGCCGGGGTGTTGCATTATTCCATTTCCCAGACGACCCTGGACGAGGTCAGTTGAATGATGGCGAAGAAAAAGGGGAATCTGGAGGTTTTCAGCTTTTTCTTCTTTGGAGAAAATTAGAAAACTCTTTGCTTAAAATTTTTGCCTTTTGCTTCATGTGTGCACGTGAAATATGAATGAATATGCCCAATGAAATATTTTTTTAACGAGCAAGCAGTGTTGAAATTGAGATGCGAAAAGAATGACTTCGTTGTTCCGAGATTTGGATCAACTTGTCTCGAGAAAAATGCTGGGATCCGAAGAATTTTTTGAAGCCAATTTTTTTTTAATTGAAGCTGAATTTAGGCTCAAGTAAACTTAAATTTAATCGCTATTCATGAACATTCGCGATAATATATGGAAGAATAAGAGATGATGTCATAAATCAAATTTAGTTTTTGAAGTTTTGAAAATCGGACCGAATGTTTCTCGATCACCCAGCATTCATCTGAAGTGCATAATTCTGTAGAACTGAAAGTATCTTTTTTTCTGTGAATCGGTTTTTACACATTTCAATGTGATTTCAAGGTGTTCGTGAGATTCGCCATGGAAAGTCGTCACATGGAAGACGATGTTGGACCTCAGGAAGGGGCTGCTCTTGGGGAACTGTCTGGTCCCACCGAAAGTTATGTTCGTAATTCTGACGGTGAGTCTTCTTGCTGTAAACATATTTTTTTTACGAGACGTGGCTTTCGTCTAGCTATAAAAATCTGAAAAAGCATTTCATTTGCAAAAATTCTGCTGTGAAGAAGTACTGTAAATAAAGCAAAAATTTGACACGAACAGTATAATTCATTAGGTGAATCTCCGAGGTTGAAGTTTGAGTAGTGATTGAAGAATTATAATGCAGTAATTAATCGAGAAAAGTATCCTCTAGGGAGTCTAGGCGTTATGAGTTGAAAAAAAGAACACACAGAATATTGAGTTGTCTCTTTTTATCAGAATGAATCTATTCAAGAAAAAGATCTTGATTACTTGTGACTCGAAATTAAATTCTTTGGCCAAGTTTTGTTGATTCACTGGCCTTCTACTTGCATCCCCAGTGACTGAACATGAATAACTGAAGTGATAATACGAAATCCGTACCATGTAGCACCGTACCATGTAGCACTGCAAGTAGGTTCACTCCGATGGAAGGTTTCCCCCTTTTTTACGAGTCTACTCATCATTTTTGACAATTACAGTACATTACTTGATATTTTTCATACCAATAATTCGAGGCATCTTTATTTATTTTATGCATAGATCCCTTGCCGAGAGCGTCAGCCTCAGAAATGGAGCTTGGAGACCTAAGGAACGGTTGCGGGCTTAGTCCAGTAGTAGCTGAGCGGGAATCTGTTGTTTGAGAGTGAATGAGAATCTCCTTCTAGTTCGAACTGTTGGACGAAACGATCAGTCTAAGCTTTAAAGACCGTTCAAGACAAGAATGTTTCTTTACGTCGAAATATCTCGGCTGATGACTTACCCACCCGTGAAGTTCACTGGGATGCTCGCGGACAAATGTGGTAGTTTTTTTTTTTTTTTTTTTTTTGCATCTACGGTTGATGCAATTCTTCAATTTTGGAGTCTTGAATGCCAGAACCTGTTGGAAGTGTACATTTGTTGTCTTTCAGAAGAAAATGTATCGGAAGCAGAATTTTAAGTTCAAGCCACGAGTGAATCTAGGTGCGAAAAGAAAAAGAGGGAATCCAGACGACAAAAACAACCGAGGGAGAGTGAGGAACTGTGATACGCTTGGCTATTATGCAAACATGTTTCCAATCGAGTTTTTTTTTTTGTTTCTTGCGTAAACGTGCCAGTTGATGGGATTAATGGTTTTTTATTGAGTACAATTTGACAAGAGGTGTTTTGAATTGTACCAACATGTTGGGCATGTGATGGATGGGACATTTTGAGTTCACGGATTCTACTAGGTCGGATATTTGACGTTCCATTACGTGTGATGGGAATGATACGTTTTCCGGGTTAGATATTATTGGGTTCAGCGCGAAAGTTGGGGTGATATGTCGGATTTTATTTGCGGGAGACTCGGGAAGGAAATTGGTGTGCAAAAAGTTCGAAATTCATCTTGCCTCGGAAGTGTTTACCGTGTGAATATTGGCTGGTTGTTTCTTTTTGAGTCAGGGTTGTTTTAGTATTCAGCAGAAAGTGGAGTGATTGCTACTAAAATTTTAGTGTCGCAGAATTATCTTGGAGTAGTTTTCGTACTAAATTCGTATGACTGCCATTGCGGGGTAATGAAAGAAAAAAATGCTTCATTATTCGGAAACTCATGTCTTTCATTTGTTCCTTTCAATTGACAACAAAAGACATTTAGGTTTTCAAATATTTCCACGGTCATGCGTCATCCATCAAAACATCCACGCCTACAAAAAAAGGAAAAAATAAATTACATCAATCTATTGTCAGATGGCGTTAGTGAATGTTACCTTCATCTTCAGGTGAGGCAACATGAACACTCTTCTCTTCAGGCTTCACGTCGTCAGCTAGTTCCTTTGCCATTTTGGTTTTTCTCGCATGAATAATGAAGTCCATGAGATACTGATTATGATCGCAAATTTTTCCAAGATTTTCTTCCTTTCTCTGGGATTTAGAAAAGAATGACACATTTACACTTCCAGTAAACAACGTTCCCCAGTAGGCAAATGAAATCAGGCTCCTGAATTTTATGCTTCAACTGTGCATCAAAATTTGTTAATATTTCAGAAGAAATTACTTCAGCATAAAAGTTCGATGTTGATCTGTTTATGCAGTACAGTATTGGGGAAAGAATGGAATGATGAAAGTCAAGGGATATGAACTAGATTATACTTTTGATACACTAGCTTCACATCAAGAGACATGCTGGTGGTCATTATCCCACAATTAATTCCAAATGCAGTTGCTTCACATTTCTTAGTTGACGTACTTCTCACCGAAATGGATCAAGTCCACTTACAAAGAGATCACTAGTAGCTAGCTGATGAAAAAAAAATAATCACCTGTAAATTCCGCATCAAATTTCGAATTATTCCAGGCAGCTTCACATTCGACGACCGCGATCGCTTCAGGTCCAGTGCATGACTCCACAACAAAGTCCGGATCCAGGTCAAATAAAACTCGACGTGCGCCGTCGCGGCAAAATGCTGTCCTAGAAACTCCAACAATTTCACCACGTACAAGACCGGCAATGAAGGCGCGATGATTCCAATGTCCTCCACCGGTGTCGACTCTATCGCCTCCAGAATGCAGTTTTCCTCATTAAGACGCAAAGCGAATGCCAGAGCTTCTCCGTATTCTGCGTTTTCTATGGCTGACCGGATCCTCGCCGGAGTGATGTTCTCTTCCAGCAAGTACGGGTCAAAGGTTAAATTCCTGTCCAATGAGTACATGACGATTCCTTCTGTGGTCGTGGCTGCGAAGCTCCGGCCTATGGTGAAAACGTGTCAGAAATCAGGCGAGAGAAAAAAAGAAAACCTCTCCTTGATGCACCTCAGCCAAGCAAATAGCATAGACAGGGTAATAATGTTAAAGTCTGGATTCTGAAGATTTGACACCATATCAAAATTCAAAACCTGATAGGATATTGTACTTGATCACATCGAGAAAATTTAAAAATATCGGTAAGGTTTAAACCGTGTTCCCCAAACATTTTGGGCCAATGCACCAGCTAGTTTCTCTAAAATTTGTCGCACACCAGCTAAATTTTACAAAAATGTTTCAGACCTGCAGACATGCTCAAATACCTGCCACTAAGTCCTCCAAACAAAACTTTTATTGCAAAAATTAAGTTGAGAACCAACAAAGCAATTATAGTGGAATGTCTTTTAAAAATTAGAAAGCTGGGCTCCAAGAAGGTTTCTTAGAATGACAACTTTGAATAAATTATTCAAGCAGGTGGAAATGTGTCTTATGTGTTATTAGGAGGAAAGCCAACTTTTATTTTTCATCAGATAATTTCAACTGCCTTTGTCTTTTCAAACAATAACACACTTAATTACTACTTTCAATAAACTTATTATGCTAAAGAAAATTTCCCACGGACCAAGGGTTGGAGAAGATTGATCTACAGGATGTCCATATTTTAAAATCACTGAAGAACAAAACTTCAAATCACGGGAAACTTCTTTACGGTATTTCAATTTCTAATTTTAAAATAAGTCACAATTTCAGATTTAGTAAAATTAATTGAAAACGTTCATCGCCATCAAACATACTCACAAAGAGAGAAAAAAATAATTCGACAGGTCGGATTTCGTCTGGGAAATCAAATACTGTACAATACTACACATTAATCATAAAATAAATTTCTGTAATACAGTATATACCATTTGGAGAAAACTGGACGCAGGAAACGCGAACTTCGGGTCGATAAGTTCTGGCAGCCATGTCCCCAGCTTTGACACCAGGCAGGGCAATACCAGCTCCTTCTTCTCCACGAATGCCGATAGGACCAATATTCCCCAACGCAGTCATCAACCGCTTATTGGCAAAATCCGTCATCGCATCCAACGACCTGCAGCCAAAATTAGAAAAAATCGTAACCTGAAGTAAGGTACAGTACCGTAGAGAGGTATAATGAACGTCTATCGTTATTGATTTTTCACACTGAAATACTGAAATTGGGTTGCCGCAGATTTTTATCGCTGTTGATTTATGTTGGACAACCCCTCATTTAAAAATTAACGAAGAAAATTTCCAGGGGAATCTGTCATGCATCATATAGCTTCACATCAATCAGTAATTCTAAATACAATAGCAATAAATTCGAGAACAAAACTGTACCATTTTTTAAACCAGTTTCCGCATAATGAACCCACCAACTGGAACGGATCAAGTCCATTAATCGAGACACCACCGAATTTTTGAATACGCAACTAAGAAAAATTTTCGGTTTAAATCTTACCGGTTTCGCGTGATGGAAAATTTCTTGACCAGCAGTCCCTCGGCAATGTGGTAAATACATACATGCTTTGACTGACCCGCAGCAAGAATGAAAGCCCCATCCGATGAGTAGCACAAAGAATTGAAACATTTCGTCTCCGCAAGTCGCTTCGCTGTAATGCGATCCGCATCTCGATGACCACTTCCGAGATCATTCTTGCCTGAGCAGGAAAAAACAATCAATTTCAAATTAAGTAAAACCATGCCTAAAACATAATTCTGATGAGCTACGCACTGATTGAACTGCTATAGAGGTGACATAAAACGAAAAATATTCCTCTCATTGAAAGGGTGCGTTAGAAGAAGAAAGCGTTTCTCAAAAGTCTCTCATAAAGCGTTATGAAGATTAAAAATAAAAGTAGGGAGTGACGTTGAGTTCCGGTACTTGCTCTTCCTATCTGGAAAACTAGTAAGAAAAAACAATATGCTTCAATTTACCGGCATTGATCCTCAAAATTGATATAATCAAACCACTTCGAGTCGAACTTCAACGGACCAGCAAAAACTTGAATTAGGGAGGTTTTTAATGCATTTTTAAAAGGGAATTCAGACATGGATTTAAAAAAAATCAAATCTCCAGGATTTTTCAAACATCTCTTTCAATAGTAATTTTCCGTGTTTTTAATGACGAGCTTGACTGTGAAAATTTCTCTTTTAATAACGGCCACCCGAATAGTTCTGAAACCACACTCAATAGTGAAAAAATGCGCTACGTATTTGTTGAGCAGATCTTACAAATGTTCACGCTTTTTCTGGGTGAAAACGAACCAGGAATGAGAAAATTAACTCAGTCGCCTCTTCATGCCCAGAATTATTATGAGCATGAAGCACGATATTTTCAACAAAAAAATTATCGAATTTATTTATTCAAATTTTCCAACATACTGTACCTTCAATTGACCCCGTGGGTCTCGTTGTGTCCACATCGAAGAAAGAAATGGCGCCGTTCAAAGTAGCCACCGCAACTTCTTTCCCGTCATGTCTTAGTACACAACAAGTCGCTTCACCAACGAGTCGAATTGTTTCAGACGCTCCAGAAGAATCCAGGAATTTCCACAACTTCAAAGTTCCATCCCAAGAACACGAGGCCAAAAGCGGATCAGAGGACAGGAGACTCGGAGAGATGCATACTGAAGACACAGGTGCTTCGTGACCCGCAAGTACTTCCAGCAAACGCCCAGTTTTCATTGACCAAAGGTACACCTCGAACTTGTCCAGACCGGAAGCGCAAACGAACTCCCCGGAAGGATCCAGAGAGACGGAGGCGAATTGCGAAGGTACTGGCGTCGTCAACGTTCGGAAGTTTCGGTACCTAAAAAGCAGGATCAACGAAATTATCATTATAATGCAACATTTATCACATACCGTTTTCCTTAAAAAATAATGCATCGCAAAATACGGCCTCAGCACAAGTTTTTGGCGAGCGTCAATTTTTAATATTACTGTATATACACATTCTGCGGATCATTTCAGATCAATAAAATTATCATTGCCATGCATCACATATGCCACCCTTTTTCTCCAAAAATAATATACCGCAAAAAAATTTGCTCCAGCACAAGATTTGGCGTCAATCTGAAATACTTACTGCATCTCTAATTTTACATCAACGAAATTATCGTTACAATGCAGACTTGATCACATGCCAATTTTATTTAAAAAATAATACCCCGTAAAAAACAGCCTCAGCACAAGTTTTTGGCGTCAATTTAAAAAATACGCACTGGGGATCATTCAAGATCAACAAAATTATTTTTACGCAGACCTGATCACATACCACTTTTTCTTCAAAAAAATTATACCCATTAAAAAATTGAGCCTGAGCTCAAGTTTTTGGCGCCAATACCCACTGGGGATCATTTTTTGGGACCCCACACACTAACTTTTTCGCAGAATGTTCCTGGGAGCTTAACAGAACAAAATTGAAAGGAATAAAATGGCAAAAATTTCCCAAAGATTCTGGTTTCCTCTCAAAAGCATAACAAACCTGGTTGTATCAAACGCGCGCACAGTTCCATCCAAAGAAGACGAAACAATTGTCCTGCCTCCTGGTCCATACACGAGTCCAGTGATGCCAGCAGTGTGTTCAGAGAAAGTCACCACGCAAAACCCAGTGACAGTATTCCAGATTTTGAGCTTCGCATCATCGCCGCCAGTGGCCAGAAATTGGCCATCAGCCGAATAAGCACACGCACTCAAACTGTTGAGTCTTCCTTCTTGCTTGAGGATAAACGATTCCGACTGCCATTCCCAAACAACAAGCTGTCCACGGGTTTTACTTCCGAGAGCCAACCAGTCTCCGGTGTCGTTGAACGCAGCTGTGGTTATATGAGAGTCTGTGATGTTGAGGGAATGAACCAGGTTCGCTTCTGGCATCTCGTGCAAAAAGAAGTCACCAGTTGAGAACCCAGTCACCAACATTCGTGTCTTGGGGTGAAACGCCACAGCGGTCAACACTGAATTGTGTATCTTTACAAAAAAATTCAAACATTTTTAGGAAAGAAAACTCGAATAAAAAATTCAGCGCACTAAAAAAGAATAGCTCACGAGTTTCCCTTCCGCATTCTTCACCAGGTCTTTCAAATAATGTTTCCCTGTCCGTTTGTACAAATGCTTCGGCAATTTTTCGATTACAATTCTTTCAGTTTCCACCTCCCGTTCTTCAGTTGCCGTCACTTCATCTTCTTCCAACGTATCGGATTTTTTCTCTTCAACCACTGAAAAAAAAGATTAATCAATTAAAATACGGCAGATTAATTTTTGCGATCTATGCACAATGCGTAAGATACTTCATGATTCAGGAAAATTAACTCTAATCGATAATATAATTACAATAATAATTCGTATTACGTGAATGTTGGACGAAGTTTCGTCTCGCTTCGACCGGCAGAATAGCAAAGTGATTCTCAACGTTGAATGCACAATAATTCATGATTTCTCGCAATTAAAAATGTTTTCTTCCGACGCGACGTACAAATTGTATGGGATACGGAAAATTCGCGAAAGGGAATATTGAAGACAGAAACAATTCGAGACACGGACATTTCAAGACAGAAACAATTGGAGACAGGGACTATTTGAGACACGGTCATTTAGAGACAGGGTCATTTTTTAGAGACAGGGTCATTTAGAGACGGGGTTATTTATAGACGGGGTTATTTAGAGACGGGGTCATTTAGAGACGGGGTCATTTAGAGACGGGGTCATTTAGAGACAGGGACTATTTGCGACTGGCTCATTTAGAGATAGGGACTATTTGAGACAGGGACAATTAGATACAGTAAAAATAAGACCTGACCTTCACACATAAATCTTCACCTTCATTCTCTTCTTTCTTTTCAAAACCTGTATAAATTATTAATTACATATGAAATAAAATGGTTCAAAATGAACAAAGAGAGGAATGAGAGCAAGTAGAAGTTGGTTTTTCTTTTTAAATTGACCAAAAACATCTTGTTATGAACTTATGATCATGGGATATTTCATCGTCATCCAATAGTTCTCAAACTAAATAAAACTGAATACTACCGTCATAAATGTAAAAAAGCGTGAAACATGATAAAGAAATAATGTAGCTCACATTACTGTCGAGAATATTCCCTGTCTCAAAATTCTTCTAAATCCAAAATACTGTATATTAATACCTACAGCTGACAAATATGTTTTTGCTATAAATAAATCGAATCACATTCGTGGAGATTGTCGTCATGTAAACATTTGCGCACTTTTTAGTTCGTACTGTAAAAAAGCTTACCTGTCATATATTACAGCAAAGGACAATTTATCTCAATATAGCAAGAAAAAACGAACTGCTTTAGAGTTGAAAACTGCGAAGTTTCTAGACGTATAAAAATCAATCTGCAATCGAACCTTTTGTCGTTTCTTCAAAACTTATGTCTTCGGGAGCAACGGAACATTCCCAAACACAGAGATGCCCGTTCGTGGCTACGGAATACACATCCAGGGAATCCTTTGCAAAAAAGCATCCCTCGACGGCCACAGCATGGCTAGGGATGTGTTGAGTGTAAAACTGTTCACACCGAACAATCGACAGCACGCAAATTCGGCCATCTTCCGCTCCGACACAAACAAAACGGGAATCGTAAGACCAATCCAAGCATGTCGCAGTTGCATAGCAACCCAGAAAAGATCTTTGCAAGCCAAACGGAGAATATTCTCTGTAGGATACTGATGGTGCTCTATAGATCAATACCCCGTTGTCTTTGGCAAAAGCGATGAGTTTTCCATCAGGGCTGAACTTTACAGCTTTCACTTGCGAGAAGAACCTGCAAGTGACACATAAAAATAGGTAGGAAGCGAAAACAAGAAATAAAATTTCAAAAACCCCCCCAAGAATATTTGGAATCACGACGAACGAACTCAGAACGGATGGAATAAACAACCCTTGCTCAAAGTTAACTCTGTTTTCAATATAGAATTTCATCGCAGGTATCTCAGAATACAATTTTCTGCAACTGACAAAAGAATTATGTAGAAAGTACTGGCGAAAACAAGAAATACAATTTCAGAAACCCAAAGAATATTTGAAATCACGACGAACGAACTCAGGACAGGTGGGATAATCAACCCTCGCTCAAAGTTAACTCGGTTTGTTCAATAAAAAAAACTGCAAATTTCACCGCACGTGACTCGGAATATAATTTTCAATTACAGTTAAAGTAATTTCTAGATCATTAAAAAAATGGCTCCACACACGTATTCTTCACGATAATTCCAATTCAACTTCAGGCAAATGTCGTGGATCTCAACCACACTTACTTGTGAGTGTGCAGAAGCCGTCTTGCAACAAGGTCGATCAGTAAGGCGATTCCATCTTCACTAACTCCGATCAGCAATCGGCCCTTCGGCGAAACAGAAAGGCAGCTAAAGTTATACTGAGCCTCAACAGGCAACGTTTCCGCGGAATGATTCTTCAAGTCGAAACATGATAATCTGTTCCCGACAGGTGAAACTATCACATTGCCGTCAGGTGTAAAGTCAACATTGCCTCCCTGGTAAACCGTTCCGAGAAGGTTTGAGAACCTGAAGGAAAACTTCATCCTGGGAAGAGAAGAACGTGAAAGAAAAGCTGACACTTCAGTAATTTTCAACACGCGTCAGAGGAAGCAAAAAATAAGAATGAAATGAATTCGGGCTTGATTGACGGCAAACTAATACTTTATTCACCGTTACCGAAGCACACACAGGACCCCACACAGCAAAAAAGCTTATTCTTTCGTTGAGAAAATTGTTTCCGCATTCAAGATTATGTACATGGAAATAATAAGAATTCCGTCAAATTTTAAACGGAAATGCATTTTTGGATAACATGAGCTTCCCTTAATATTCGTTTAAAAGACCTTCACCAACGATTCTGTTTACATATGGATTAGTGATTTGTATACATATTTTTCTATATCAACTCCTGTCTGAAATAATATGATTTCTACAGAAAGTCATCCATTCTTTGACACATTAAAATGAACTATATACAGCAGCATTTTTCCTCCATGACATGTAAAATGTCTTGACTCTTTGCGAGGTTACTCATATTCCCGATTGTACGCTTTCCGTTTTCATTTCACACCTGAATCCCTTTTAAAGCGCCGTCAGACTAATTAATTCCTGAGTGCTGAATTGATGCATTACGTCATCAATAAAATTGAAATGAAACGACATAAGATCGCAACCACTGCTTCAAGAGTTCAAGACAACATTTTTCATCGCCGTAGGCTCCTGGAAAATTCAGTGATCAGTTGCGAGTTGAATATTCTTTTCGCAATGTTGTTTAGTGTCGCTTCAGTATTGACTTCGGTTGACGTTTCACGATTCGCCTTTGTTCATTGCCCTTTCGGCAATTGCTTGCAGTGTGGCCCCGTTCGTCGCACTTCCCACAGACCACATGATCCCATTCAGAGGAAATCATAGCCCTTCTCCATTGAAACGCGTTTTCAAAAGCTTCCAATTCTCTAGCGACTTGGAAAGCACTTTCAAAATCATCGTACTTATTGTAAATCATCTTGTGGCGAAGAGAGTGCCTGAGCCCTCTCAGGAAGTAAATCAACAGCATCTCGTAAACCAAATTCTGACGGGCTTTCTCTTGAATTTTCTTCACCATAGACAAAGCTTCGGGGGAATAATGTGAATAGCCATCTTTCTTCAGCTGGGACTTCAATTTACTGGTCTTCTGAAGAATCATCGAAAGCCCAGCACGTCTGACACGAGTTCCATAGTCACGCACCAACTCTGTATCTCCTTGTTCTATTTCTTCTAGTACATCAAGACCCGAAGCAACCGTCTCTCCAAACTCGTCATCCAGGGCTTCTACAATGTCTTCGTATGGTGCTCCCATCAGATCTCTAACTGCAATATGCATCAAGGCAGGTCCTCTTAGGTTGGCAAGCAAAAATCTTCGCTTCATTCTTTCTGATAGATAACAGCCTTTGGCCGTGATCTCGAACACAATCCACCAATCATACCACTTCAGCTCTCCATTACCTTCAAATACTGGGATATTTTCAAGCAAATAGCTTATCATCTCATAATTCCTTTGACCAGCTTCTTCGTTGGCTGATAATTGGGGATCGATTGTCTGGGGCAATGTTCCATTGTTTTCACTGATGGTCTCTTCGATCTTTTTGATATTGTTTTGTATCGTGGTCGATATTTTTTCCCAGTGTTCTTCCAGTTGATTAATTTTGGCGATGCGAGAAGTGATTGCGATTTTCTGGGCAGTTCTCGGGGGATTTCGAGCATCCCCATTTTCTGCTTCCAACGTCATTTTTTCGTCTCTGAGAGCCTGTAGCAAGACTTGGACGTATTGCGCCTGTTCTTTCGGCTCCAACGTCATGATTTTCTGCATCTGTGACATCCAGTCTGTCGATTCCGTAGTTGTATCAAATCGCTTCCATTTCCAGACGAACAGCTGGCCACAATCTTTGCTTCCCATCGCCAAACTGTCTCCAGAGACACTAAATGCGGCTGTCGATACATTAGAGTCTGTGACGTCGAGGGACTGGACAAGTTCGACTTCTGGCATCTTGTGCGCAAAGAAGTCTTTAGTTGAAAATCCAGTGACCAACGTTCTTGTACCGGGATGAAACGCCACGGCGGTCAACACCGAGTCGTGAATCTTGAATCAAAAATTTGACATTAGAAAAACATGTACATTTCGAACAGCACTTGAACTACTCACCGGTTTTCCGTCGGCATCTATCCTTGGGTCTTTCAGGAAACATTTCTTCGTCCTCTCGTACAGATATCCCGACAATTTTTCAGAAACAACTTTTTCAGGTTCCATTCCTGCCGCTTTGCTCCCAGTAGCCTTGTGTTCTTCAAACACATCCTCAGCTTTAAAACAATTTCTTGAGATTAACTTACATACAATGCGTGAGAAAACGATAACCGTAGACAAGAAAAAACAAAACAAATAGGGCATTGCGTGATAAGAGACATGATGGGCCAAGTCAGCCTTGGACAAATTACCGTCGGAGAAAACTGAGCGAAAGGAAGCTGATCGACAGGTAAAAATTGGCATTGAACACCTAATCGTAGAATAGACTGCTTTTTCAAAAACAGACTTGACTATATCGTTAATTTTCCAAATGAATCACTTTCATATTATTTTCTTCATATTTCATCAAGTGAAGATATTTTTGGCTCGAGAAAAAAAACAGAGATGGAAAATTAATTCCACTTATCGATAATAGGAATGTGATAGTCATGTATCGTAACACTTGATCGTCCCTGAGACTCTTTCGACTGCAAACAGAATTAAAAAACTAAGCAGTCAAACAGAAAAGCTCACCATTTTCGTAATCAAAAGCAACGTCAGCGGCAGCCACAGAACATTCCCAAACACAGATCTGCCCATTCTTGGCGATGGAATACAAATCCAGAGAATCTCTGGCAAAGAAGCAGGCCTCAACAGCCACGGTATGGCTGGGAATGCGTTGTATGTAAAACTGCTCGCAACGAGAAATGGATAGCACGCAAATACGGCCATCTTGCGATCCGATACAAACGAAGCGAGAATCAAAAGACCAATCCAAGCACGTCACAGGTGCGTAGCACCCATTGAAACATCTTCGTAAACCCAAGAAGGAACATTTTTGGTTCGTGACTGTTGGCGCTCGATAAATTGAAACTCCGTTGTCCTTGGCGAAACCGATCAGCTTTCCGTCGGGACTGAACTTCACAGCTTTCATCGTCTTGGAGAATCTGAAATACAAGCACGAACATGACGAAGCGACTCCGAAGAAAAATATAAATTGAATTGAAAGAATGAGCTCGAAAAGTCAAGATCTATTACTAAAGGACTATAACGGGAAAATACCCTTTTGCTCAAAACGTAAATATTTAATTTGAAAATTTGGTGCGGTTTTTTTTTAATTTGCATATGAATATGGAGCAAAGTTAAATTGATTGACCAAGAAAAAATCACATTTTACATTCTCATGAGTTTAAAAGCTCTTGAAATTGCATCTTGAAAAATCTTGCTACAACCAAGTGTTTAAAAAGGCTTCATCATACACAAAAATTTATTAAAACGGAAATAAAATACTGTAACTTCATGACTAGTGAACAGGGATTGAAAAAAACAATTCGTCCTAAGTCTTAATTTGTTATAATGAGTTTATACTGTATTGAATCAGACCAAGTAAATTCTCAGCAAGAGCTACTCCTGCATGTCTACCCCGCCAGACGAAAGTGGATGAAAATGTAGCAGAAAGCATTTGTTACATTCACACTCAACCACGGATTACGCAGAAGAACAGATCCATACAACCACGTTATAGCAGTCAAAATGACTCACTTTTGAGTGAGCAGAATCCGTCGTGCAACCAGGTCCACAAGTAAGGCCGTTCCATCTTCTGTGACAGCGATCAGTAAGCGGCCTTTCGGCGAAACGGAAATGAACTTGAAATTATTCGTCACCTCAATTGGCAACTCTTCCGCGGTATCATTTTTCAAGTTGAAACACCACAATTTGTTTCCAACAGGAGAAACCAACACATTGCCATCGGGAGTGAAGTCGACGTTGCCTCCTTGGTAAACCGTTCCAATGAGGTTCGAGAATTGGAATGCGAACTTCATACTGTAAATACAAACAAAAAATATGAAACTCAGGAACGCATTTTCCCTCTGAGCACACATACGTATAGAAAACCAGACACATCTTATTTATTTTTATATCCGTAGTAGCAACGCACAGTATTCGAAAAAAAAAATCAAAATAAAAACGTGATAGGAGGAAAGAACACGCCTTTCTTTACAACTGTAAAAATTCCCGATCATCTTCATCTTCTCACACGCAATAATTAAATGTCAAGTTCCTCAACTCGCACTAGACCCAGCGCATCCATCTTCTCACGTCCATTCAGCAAAAAAATTAAAATATTTCTGGCATGCTTTACTTTCTCTCACACCTAATTTTTCACTACCATTAAAACCATCTTTCCCAAAATTTACCTCTAACTACTGAGTCATATAAAGTATACCTTTTCTTCGGCCCAATGATTTGCAGATCCCCCTTCAGTTCATCGAATTCATTTTTGTCGAAAATGTAATCGTTCCCCGAGGACTTGGTATTTGCTTCCAACTTTGATGATCATATACGTTATTATTGGCCCATATTCTTCTTCCACAGTTCCTCGATAAAGACATTGTCAGAGAGATTTTTTGATCATGCGAAAACTAGTTTTTGCAACACGATTTCCTCCAACGGATCTTCTTCCCTCAGTAGAGTACTTTTACTGTACTTGAAATTCGCTTCGAATTCCTAATTCCCTTCCAGAATAATTGTGATTCTCATATTCGCCATCCCAATCGATTTCCCGACAAAATTCATATGATCTCTTAGCATCCCGATAGTGAATTCTTTTCCACTGTCCAGTTGGTTTTTGCTTTGAATGCATCCTCCTCCCTTCTTAGTATTCTGGAACAAATTTTGGCGACGCATGCCTCGGTGCTCCATGTTGAGGTGGTTTCGGGTTGGTTCTGCGAATTACGCAATTTTTCGCCACGTGACCTGTTTTGTAGCACATCCAACAGACCACTGCTCTTCGCTGCTCTTCCCTTGTACGGTTGATTCTCAGATCGTTCATCTCCTCGACTTGTTCGGCTTCCTTTACTGCGATGCTAAAACCTTCCGGAATTTTCATAAATTTATCTACAATTGAGAAACGAAGTCCACGCATGAAGTGAAAAAGCAGTAGTTGGTCCATCATGCTCAAACCGCCCTGCATTGCCCAACACTCGTTTCGGTATGATGGATTCGGCACCAAAATTTTAGAACCGTCTTCCTTAATCATGATTTTCAATATGCTTTCCTTGTGAATCATCCCTCTCGTGTACAACTCCGCAGCACGTTTAATTCGGTTTGCGAAGTGGGAAACGGCTTCTGTGTCTCTTTGCACAGTTCGATCCAATGCAGCTAAACATTGTCTCATGTTTTTTGAAACTGGCTCCTCTCCGTACTGGGCTTCCATTTCTTCCACAATTTCTTCGTAGGGTGCATTGCTCAATCCCGCAATCAGAATACACCTTTTGGCAGATCCTCCAAGCTTTTGTAGAAGAAGCGATTGTAGTTTTTCAACCGACACTTGACAGTCAACGATCGTCATTTGGAAAGTAGTCCACCAGTCATTCCAGGACCATTTTCCGTCACCTCTGAATACTGGAATCTTATAAATATCGTCCAAATCAGCAATACCTCCTTGGTGATTCTGGCCTTCTGCAGGGCGGAGAGCACCAAGGTTACACCATTTCACGAACTTAGAGTAGTCGCTCCGTCTTGTTAAAAACTCGAAATATTTGAAACTTCCGCGTTTTTTATCTACACTGCCCGCGCAAAATCGGGCGCCAGAATTCAAGCTTCTGAACTCAGCATCGTCGGCAGCTGTAGAAGAAAGATGACCGTAGGATCTTGCATCTTCATTGAACGCCATCGATGATCGACCCTTCGGCGAAGCAGAAGTTTTTCTTGGCAGTTCTGTGTCTATCCACTACCGATGTTCTCGCGGTATGATTCTTCGTCGGAACACGATAATCTATTTCCAACAGACGCAACGATCACTGTCGTCTACAGTTAACACGAAGTTGATTTCTCGGTACACGGTTCTTAAATTTTGGACGAACTTTATTCTGAAAATAGAGAAACGAATCGGTTGAGCTCATTCGACAGGCAAAAAGGAAAGGAATATAACTTTTTTCGACGCACGTTCTCTTCATGCAAGATGGAAGCAAATTTACAGACTAGGTGTTCTCAACCAAACTGAGCTCCACGGAGCCCTTAAGGTGAAAATCCAGAGATCCGTTGCCACTCTGGGGAAGTTTGGGACAAGTTGTTCAAAATGTTCCACGAAGAAGCAGAGCAAAGAAAAAAGATTTACATGAGGGGCACAGTCATGAAGTTGATTAGTGTGAAGGCTCTTTGAAGCAAGAAGGTTGAGAAACTCCGAACTTGAAGAACATTAATAAAAAATTAAGTGAAGGGGTTTACAATTGTACAGATGACAACATTCGTCGAAGAAAGTAGTAATAAACTCGGGCTGCGTTTATCACGATTTACACATTTTTATTTACCCGTTCCCAAAAAAAAAAAACCAGAGAAGGAATAAAGGAAGTTCATCCTTTGTTGTGACGATTTCCCCAGCCCCGAGGATTATCGTCTTTGAATTCATCCCAATTCCGGGATTTTTCCAAAGCCGCTTCATCATGGGCATCTTTTTCCCGATCCTGGCGTTCGGCTTTCTGCTCCTCGGTTTCATTGACACCCATTTCTGCCTCAGCTTTCTTCATTCCACACTGATACCTGCATCAAGAATACATGCAAATAATGAATTCGAGGAATAAATTCATAATTTTCAACAAAAGCTATAACGACCGTTCGTAAAGTCGGGTAAAAAGTTGAAGCAAGCTCAGCAGACATCTTGTAACTCGAGGACTTCAGTCAAAAATCTGCGATTTAAATCTTAAAGGCCTTCTCTCGAATGGAAAAATTGAAGATGCTGTTCAATTTGGGCCTAGTTTAGGAAAACGTCTTGCTACTACAGTTATTTCAAGCCAATCACTGTTAATTTCCCATCTACGCATCAGGTTGGGGCTAAAAAAAATCATGACACTCACCAGCCTTCATTAACGCGTTTTTCGTAGAACTCCGCTACTGTCAGGGTTGGCAAACTTGGATACCCCAAGCCGAATACTTCTTTTTGGACTTGATCGCGACACAATATCACAGGTTTAAGTCCCCCTCGTCTTGGCTTTGGGGGCTCCAACTTATTTCCACTAACTTCTTGCTCTATCCGCAGCTTCGCAAGAGGAATTTCTTGTTCAATCATCCCAATCTCGTCACGGGATTCTAAACTCAGTTTTTCCAACAATACAGACCAATACTTATGAGACTCGCCCCCTTCCTCCCGAAGCAGAGTTTCTGATCTTGATTCCAATTCGCGAATCTTTCGCAAACGGCTTAGCTTAGCATTACGCTCAGCATTCAGGCTGTCTAAATTCGATGATGAATTTCCTGAGGTGGGACTGCTACCAGTTGGAATGCCGTAAGACTCCACTCTTGAGATGAAATCGTTGAAGTAAATTAGGGCAGCTTCAAGTATCTCCAAGCGCTCCGTACTGGTATGCGACTCGGATCGCAAAGTCAAGTGGCCCAAATAGTAGGGAAGCGTCAAAAACTTAACATTCTCCAAAGGGATTTCTGCGAGATCTTCGTTTCGAGAGAACATGTCGAGCGAGGTAACTGCTCGAGTCGCATCCTCAAGGATGAGCGTACCTTTTTTCACGCTTGCCTGATATGCAAAACAATGTTTTAGAACGTAAATCTGATGTCGATGACAAATAACTCACTTTATAGTCGTCCGACAGTGAAGGATAATTCCCACATTCATCCAATAATCGCCGCCCGGTTTTGTAGAGTTCAGATAATGTGTGCTGATCTAAATCCATCTCGAATTAATAAAACTTAGCGTCACTAAAAAAAAGGGGGCAAATTTCATGAACTTGAATTCATCCGTAATAGATAAGAGAAACGGCAGTCTTGCATTTCAACTTGACATTAAGTGCATTAACCAACTATACCGCTCATACTCGATTGCACATCATCCACTATCAAACACAAATACCAATTCAAGCAGATGGCTTCTTCGATGGTTTCAACTTGTAGAACAAGAAGAGCAGGGCCATCGTTCCAAGAGTTGCTTTTGTCACCTAATCAATGTAGAAAAACATTCATCCGTTCAGAAAGAAATTGAATAACACTTGTCCGCAAAGAATAAGTCCTAGTTGACAACTCACGTTCGCACGTCCTGTGGTGGTCACACTGTTGAAGTGCTTGGATAATCCCGTGAACTGAGCATCAGAACCACTCGGACCGGCCATGGTGCACCTTAATAAATTTCAACCACGAGGGAGCAATGAACACCTAAATAAAAAGCCGAAAAGCGCACTCAAGACTAAATCTCATTCAAGTCATTTCAATAAATATTCCCGCGCCAGCAGAACAATATTACACACGCATTGTCAGACACGAACCTTCATCCCTCCTTTCACCACGGTAAATGAACATTGCATCAGCTTTCTGATCGCCAACGCTCACTTCCACGCCCCTTTCTCTCCCAACGCAAGAAATGAGTGACTTAATGAACATCGCATATTTTTGAGTAAGAACTCCATGTTGAAATCGGCAGAAGAGTACTCATTATTGGAGAGCTGACCTACTCCAAATTGTAATATTTACATGAAAAATATGCTTTCATAATTTTTCTCAAGTTATTTTGCCATAAAAGTCTTCCCATAAATGCCATAATGTACAACCGTAGTTCATTGCAGTTGAAGTCACCCACTAAAATCCACTGGCGGATCTGAGGAAGTGTGGCGCTGACTATGGTGGCGTGGAAGAAAAAAGCCGCGAGTTAAGTGAGTAGAGGTTACGCTGACAGTGGCATTACGTCATGACTCATGATAGTTCATTTCGAGATGCTGGAGGAGAGCGCCATCTGCAGACACATCCTTGGATCCTCCAGCTCTTTAACGAAAAAGACAAAGGTTTGGCGGACGAGTAGTCCGCCTCCCTAGCAGGAATTGGAGCAATTCCTTCAAAATCCGCGGATAATCAGGAAATCCCTTGCCTCTTTGATCTCTGTAGAAAAGGCAGGTACAGTAATTATATAACTCATGAAAATACGGTGTTGCGGAATTACGGGATGTAACGTATTTGTTTATATCAAAGCAGTAGGCAGCCATGCATTCTCATGCAATTTACTTCAAAGGCACAGCAGCTATAGCAGCATGCATGAGTGTCATCTCATCCCAACCCAGGAGCAAGACTCATGCATCCTTGTGCAATACAGCGCAGAACTTATTATTTTAGGATATTGATTGATCTCCTGGTGACGGGGTTTCTGATGCAGGAGTGCCTCCCTGTATAGCTGCAACAGGTGCTCAAAGATTCCGCGCAATGCTAAGCAACAACGTCATTCATCCTCTCTCCCTGAAATAAAATAAATGAACCCTCCATCACATCTTTCGTACAACAAGAATTGCGAGACATCTGATTCTTGTCGACAATTCTTACGATTTTGAAAATTGAGTTGACATTGCAAGTGATGAAAAATATGATCTACTGAAAAAAGTTGAGGATGCATTGCCAGCAGCAGTGAAAAAGAATTTGGTTAAGAAGAAAATCACTGATTTTTTCAAACAATAATTTGAGTTCTTAAACTCAAAGGCAAGCCTGATTCAGAATATATGCAGATCTGAGCAGAAAAAAATTTTTCCAGTCATTTTTTTGATAATCTCGTTACAACAAATTATCCATTATAACAAACTTTTTCTGTGGTCAAAAGTTTGTTGTATCGAGATTTTACTGTACCATTCATAATGACACACTTTGCGCTTAATAATACAGCTTAGTATCATAAATCCATTTTGCGTGAGTCATTTTATGCGCACTATTACATATATAAACAGTAGTTACGCAATGATTTTGAATTTTAAAAATATTATAAAAATTGTCTCGGCAGTAGTGTGCATTATTCTAATGGAAAATTTTGGACCAATTTCAACAGAAAAATGTACTGTGATGGAAATAAATTGAAAATTAGTCAAATTCAGGATCCAATTATGTCTGCATCCAAATTTGGGTGATATTATTTTTGAGAACAACTAAAGTGGGGTGCACATCTTGAAGCTCAAGGATCGAATTCTATTTTTAAAAGTTTTGACTGAAAAACCCTGGCGTGCATTCTATACTCCTGAGGGCGCTTACGCAGTTTCCATAACCTCAATAATTCAAAACCTCTCCTCTATAGATCAATTTTGTTGTTGGTCCCTTCAAATCCGGAGCATATAGAGAGGTTCAGCTGTGCCTATCGTGAAGATATTGTAGGAAATACAAAACCCGGTATATTTTATATAAGAAGTGATATATCCTGTGTGAAATTTCTTTGGATCCCCGGAAAAATAGGGTAAGAAGCTGCGGAACTCGGGGGATGTATAGAAGTTGGTCGACCAGAGGGAGCTGCACGATTCCCGCGACCCCATTATAGCATAGGGCTGGCAACTGGGACACGCGAGGAATGAGAGGGTTGTTGCTGCAGTTTGGGTTAGAGTGGTGGGAGTTGCGATGCAGCCTGTTGCCCCCCATCCGAACCCGCTTCCCCAATCCCCCCCCCCCCCCAGTGCACTTCCGGTCTGAGGCGCCGACGCCCTGCACGTCCGCCCTCATGCTATAAATGTGACCCGAGGTTATGCACCAAGTTCCTGCACTTCCTATATGCCTATGAAGATGTAGACCAGTGTTCCCCAACTGTTCTTGGCCCAAGTATCAGCAAATTTAAATTTTTTTATAGACCAGCTAGGTTTCAAAGAATTTTTACAGACTTACAAAAGATCAGCTTGAAAGACTTTATGGCTGGTATTTAAAATTATCTACTATTAACAAAAGGTGAATTCAGCACCAATGAAGTAGCTTTAGCTGAATCTAATTTAAATATTATGAAGGTGTGCTTAAAGAAAGCTTTCTTTAAAAAATGTTTAAAAATTTTACGCTGGTGAAAATTTGTCTGAAGTGTTATTAGGACAAAAGGCAACTTTCATTTTCAAAAATAATTTCCACTGTTATTGTCCTGAAATTTTAGGTAAAGATACCCCACTTTATTGAAACTTATGATGAATTTAGTATGAAGAAAATTTTCTATGGACTGGCGTTGGTCTGCAGACCAGACCATGGGTTGGGAACACTGGTGTAGACATGCTATATAAAACACAAGAATAAAACATGTGTTTCAGAAAAACTCCACAAAAAATTATTCAAAAATCAGCAAAATGCAAGTGGACTCTATACACAATGAAATTAAAGGCACCATAGAAATTTTTATAGAGAGCATTTTCTGCAGAGAACCTCTAATATTGAGAGAAATCCACTATGGGCAAAAAAGTTGTTATGAATCACATCAGGGAAACTTGTTGTATGCAAGATCATTGCATAGAGAGAGTTCACTGTATATGTATACATAATGTGCCTTGAAATCTTCAGCAAAAAGTGCAATTTTATCAATAGACCTGGACAAAGTTGGAGGTTTCCTATATGTGATGGGCCATTTTGATGGTTTAACAATAAAATATGACTACCATATCCTTGCTGAGTAGGGATTTTTTAAAATGACCAGCATGGGGTGCACAATATTTTTCTCCAGACATACCAGCTTCATCCTACCTGGTGGAAATACAGGAAAATGTACTCATGAAAACTGTGAAGATGATTAAATGAGAGAAAACAATCTAGCTCTTGTTTGACTCCAGTTATACCCAGAAGCTTGACTTTAAATGGTTCCATACATTTGAAACAAAATTTGTGGATAGTTTCTGCTCTAGTATTAATGGATTCAATCCATTTCAGCAATGTGAAGTGCTTTGCCAAAAAAATTGAACAAAATGTTGTAGCTACACTGTATGTATGAATTGGCTTCTTGATTCCAGCTAGTCTCCTTTCAAAGTTGGCATGGATATGTAGCTATATTTATAATGACTATTTAATGTCAATGAAATAGAGCCTATGAAGCATTTTAGAGACAAAATCAGGAAAAAATTATCCGTCTTTGGTTCTCCAGCATAATCAAAGAACTCAACAAGTCTTCATACAAGTAACAGCAGTAAGACATGGTCAATAAGTAAAACCAATTAGCATAATAATCATTTTTTTGGCGACAGTCAAGTGACCATGAAGGTGAGAAAAAAAATCTGGACTGGGTTGAAGCAAAGTTGACCATATTCAATTATCACAAGAATAAAACCTCAAGATTCCAATTCAAACTGGGCAGCTATATTCATTCAAATTACATCATATATTTCTCATAGCAATCCCTAGCATATTTTGAAAGTACTGTAACTTTTGATTCTGCCTTTTCTTGGCTACACCCCCCTCATTGCTGCCTCTGGAGAGAACTCCTCCTCTCTACCCTCAACACCCCTCACATTCCCTTGCCCCCAAAAGGTTGTGCATCACTCACTGGTCATCCATGCTATAGGGATCATGTATAATTTAAAATAAAATTCCTCAGCAGTTTGGAAGATATCAAGATTGAATACAAAATATGCCCTTCATGTAAACAGGTCATGACAATTATATTCATATGTGTACAGTTTATGTTCACCACTATGCAAACCGACCCTGAAAAGCCAAAAATTAATTAAAAAGTAAATATCACATTACATCATAAACATATGAGAATATGTCTTTGGCCCTAAGAGATATGGTTTTGATATACCCAAGTGCTGAAACATACTGTAACTACAATAAAGCACATCATGGTACTCCAATACAAATTTGGGGCAACAGAACAAAATCCTATCATGACTTGCATGGGGAACTTGCTTCAGAATCACTTAAACATTGATATAAAATATGATCTGAGAAAAGTGCATTTGAGTTGTGACTATTATAACTCAGTTCATGAAACTTTTAGTCTGGTGCATGTAAAAAAATTCTGTGTCTCTAGCATAATATGCCTCAGTATTTTTCAATAGGGCTGGCAAAATTTTATTATTTGTCTTTGTGAAATAATTTTTAAAAGCCTGGCAAAGTCAATTATTTTATTATAACTGAGCACCAGTCTAAGAGGACTGCAATATTCCTCTTTTTAACTCTACATGCATTTTATATCAACAAAAATTTTCTTTTATCAGAAAAACCTAAACCCAACAATTTTTGCACATGATGAAATAGGAAATTAAAAATTGAATAATGCAAGGAGGCCTTATTCTCCTGCTTATAACAGGTGGACTCTCTGTACAACAGCCTTGTCTTGGAATAATATTCTCTGCATGACAATTTTATTTTTTGGTCAAAGGGTTCTCTCCCCAGTTTTTTAAGTTCTTGACAATGAAATCCTTGTGTCCACATCAACAATTTTCTTGTAACTTGAATTTTATTGTAGAGAGT